TTATCGACCATGCGCGCTCGGCGGCCAACAAGGAGCAGAAGATGACCCTCATGCAGGGCATCAAGCTGTATCCCAAGGCTGTCGCGTGGAGTATCCTCATCTCGACTTGCATTGTCATGGAAGGATTCGATATTGTCCTTGTCAACAACTTCTGTGAGTTGCCTCGCACAATACTACGCGACTTGGTCTAACCACTATTGCTCAGATGCTTTCCCTCAGTGGAACAAGAAGTACGGTCAACTCCAGCCTGATGGAACATATCAGGTGTCTGCAGCATGGCAAGCTGGTTTGAGTAATGTATGAGCCATAAAGGCCACTCGATTGACGAAGCTAACCATCACAGGGTGCCAACGTCGGTTCCATCATCGGTCTCTTCCTCAACGGTTGGCTCTCTGAGCGCTTCGGATATCGATACACCATCATCGGCTGCCTCATCTGGCTCTCCGGCTGCATCACCCTCTTCTTCACCGCCCAGAACGTCCAGATGCTCCTCGCCGCCGAAATCCTCTGCGGTCTCCCGTGGGGTATCTTCCAGACCATCTGCGTCACCTACGCCTCCGAAGTCTGCCCCATCGCCCTCCGAGGTTATCTCACCACATACGTCAACTTCTGCTGGGGTCTCGGACAAGAAATCGGCATTGGAATCTTGCGATCTATGATCGGTCGAACTGATCAGTGGGCTTACAGAATCCCCTACGGTCTGCAGTGGATCTGGCCTCTCCCTTTGATGGTCGGCTTGTGGCTTGCTCCCGAGTCTCCTTGGTGGCTTGTTCGCAAGGGCCGTGTTGCTGATGCCAAGAAGAGTCTTCTTCGACTTACGAGCCTCAACCGTGAGACCGATTTCGATGCAGATGAGACTGTGGCTATGATGGTTCATACAACTGCTCTCGAGGAGAAGTTGACTGAGGGAAGCTCTTATATCGATTGTCTCAAGGGTGTCAACCGTCGACGAACAGAAATCGTTTGTATGGTTTGGGCTATGCAGAACCTCAGCGGTAACTCCTTTTCCAACTACTCAACCTACTTCCTCGAGCAAGCCGGTATGTCTGCCGAGCACGCCTACTCTTTTGCTCTTGGACAATATGCTATCAACATGATTGGTGTCTTTGGCGCCTGGGGTCTGATGTCTATTGGAATCGGTCGCCGAACTCTTTACCTTTACGGATTGTGCGGCCTCTGCACCGTCCTCTGCATTCTTGGCTTCCTTGGTCTCGTTCCCGAGGCTGATCGCCAGAAGGGTGCTCTCGCTACTGGAAGTCTGATGATCGGCTGGGCTGTTGTTTATCAGCTCACTGTTGGCTCCGTGGCTTACTCTCTTGTCTCTGAGCTTCCCTCTCGACGTCTCCAGATCAAGACCGTCGCTCTTGGTCGTATCTTCTAGTAAGTCTGATCTACAGATATCAAAAGCACTCGCAGCTAACCAATCACAGTGGTATTGTCGGTATTGTCAACGCTGTTCTGGCTCCTTACATGCTCAACCCCACCGCTTGGAACTGGAGCAACTACACCGGTTTCTTTTGGGTAAGTCTTGAAGCTATTTACTCACCTGACCTCCAAGCTAACATGCTCAATAGGGTGGCATCTGCTTCCTCTGCGTCATCTACACCTACTTCCGCCTGCCCGAGCCCAATGGCCGAACCTTTGCCGAGTTGGGCGTTCTGTTCGAGAAGGGTGTCAGCGCTCGAAAGTTCGCTACAACAAAGGTCGATGTCTTTCACGAGTCTGTCGACGATCATGTTCTCGATCAGTTGAGCAAGGCCGATCAGGCCACTGTCGAGACCGTTGAGCAAGCCCCCGCACACAAGTAGATGTTGATCGAAGGGCTTGAACGTCCATATCAAACTTCCTTGGAAAGCCTTTGCTTGCAAATCAACGAGTCAAGATAGCTTATGTATATTAATAACGGAGAAATAATGAGACATTGAATAATTACCCTGATCGCGTGCCATCCTCACCTAACCTCCTTCTGCTTGTGTAGATCCCTGCATACAACCTTGAACGGAGCTATGTCTCGATAGGTGACCTTCTCTGTCGATCTCTGCTGCCTTCTCGGCAAATCCGAAAACCCCCACTTCTGCTTGACTTTGGCAATTGTCACAATTATCCAACTCCCTCAGTCACACAATCCATAGATCAAACAGGTAAGACGGGGATCTGGAACCATGTAAAGCCAATATTGAGATGTTGAAATGACGGTCGACGAAAGATCTCGTAGCCGGAATGCGATGCTGGGTCGCCGGCCTCGGCATGAAAATGCATGATAAACATTTGATGCTAGCCTGGCTCATCTTCCAAACATCGATGCTGTATTTGGCGCCAATGGATGACGTTGCGCTATATCGCGAATGGCCTGAATGAACAACGTGTGCCAGAACGATGGTTCATAGTAGAACGAGTCAATGCCGTGTGGTGTTTAGAAACCGATGGTGATAGTGCCATTACTTGCAACGCTATCCAACGCCATACACAAGAAGTTAGGGATAGATCAAGAAGAACATAATCTAATGGCAAATTCTGGCACCAAGTTCTAGGTCGAGGTTGTACGCTCTCAGCCATAGGTTGTATTAGCTTGACGCGTTCTGTTTCTGCTTTGTGAAATTGACCAAGCTGTCAAGCCACTCTTGATGACCATTCAATATGGGATTCGGCTTGGTAGCCGCAAGCTTAGCTCCAGGCTGCCCAATCTGAGACTCCTGCGTCAAGATTCTAACCACGCCATAATCCAAGTCCTCCACAATCCAAGCATGATACACATCTAGCTTAGAGCTCTCGTCCCCATCTACCCACGCCCTCCATGCCAAACGTCCCGGAGAGCCCGCACTCGGCGGCACAGACTCCATGACTTCTGCCGGAAAGGGACCGAACCCGAAAGTCGAGAAGCTAAAAGTGTCACCATTCTTGAGGATGTTGCCGGTGACTGGCGGCGTGACATGGCTGCAGTTGTTGTAGTACGACTCCCACTGAGTGATGTCGGCGAGGTTGGCCCAGACTTGGGCGGCAGTGATATCGCGCACAATTACTTCGTTTGAGGTATAGTTGTCGGTGGTTCCAGGCAGGAACTTGATAGGCCAGATAATTGCTGACGCCATTGTGAACGAGCTTTAGAGAAATAGTATATGGAAATGATTTGTGAGTTAGTCTGACGGCTGTTAAATTAAAGAACTCGAATCTTTCTCATATGCATTTGCAGAACTTCCAACGTCGGCAAAGGGATGTCGGCAAAGGCGGTCCAATGAGGACTGATTACAAATCATCCACATCCGCGGTCCATGAATCGTCGCGAATGAGTCAACATACAACTTTGACCAAACGCACAATATAGCTGCATTGGCTTTATACACCTCGCACTCTCAATTCATTGTATATTTAATGTCTTACATATAAAAACATCATTCGACCATCAGGCTCCTTACTGCCTTGATCCAAAGTTGTCCGTAGACATAGAGACGCCCTTGTGGCCAGTCAAGTGTTTCTGATATAAGCCTCTACGAACTCCTCGAGGTTTTCTCCTGGCAAACCTGTCTTATCATTCCAGAGTCCTTTGTCAACAGAATAATTCGCGACACCGCCCCTGCCGTAGATCGCACCAGAGATCTGAGCCAGAGCGCCCATCGCATCTCCATTTCTGACCTGTTCAGCACCTGATTCCCAGAGACCTTTTACAGTTCCACGAGAAACTTGGAATTTGTCTCCCGTGGCCTTTTCTAGCGCATGGAGGACGTCGTTCTGGGTCACGGTGAAGCTATTGACGTAGACATGCTGATCGCGTGTAATCTCGAGATTCTTCAAGCTTTTGGCGATTGCCCTCCCAACCTGATCTAGGTTGGTAGCCTCATAAGCGATATCGCCCCCATCAAAAAGAGTCGCGGTGCGTGCGGCAATGTTGAAGCCACTGAAGCCAGGAATGTTGAGGCCCCAGTCGAACATGGCCCCTGAAATAATAGCAATCCATGAAAGCTCGCCGTTCTTAGTCTCGATGTAATCGAGCGTATCGATCTTGTCTTGGACGAAAGAGATGACTTTGGGTGCTTCTGGATTCGCTGTGTCAACGCCGAACTCGGAGGGGACGAAGACCTTGATGCCGGCCTTGATAGCTGCGTTGACCATGAGCTTCTGGAAGGGCAATATCTGGCCGGGGGCTAAACCAGAGGCCGTGCTGACCACAGCATCGTGGCCTCTTAGTACCTCGACGAGAGATTCTTCAGAGTAGTCGGTCTTGACAGTGCTGATGCCCCGAGGAAGAGTGCTGCTCGATGATGCTCGAGTCAGACCTGTCACTTGAAAGCCTTCTTGGAGGAGTGCCTTGACAGTTGACTTGCCAAAATTTCCGCTAGCTCCGATAACCGCAACCCTTGTAACTAACGACATGATAGCAGTGTGAAATAAATAGGGTGGACCCAAACAGTAAGGGACAGATTATAGTGTGTGTGTATAGGTCTTGCGACCTTGACGTTAGAGCACAGGGACTGGTCTACTTATAGACGGAGTGTATAGGAAGCATAGTGCATAACTGGTAACGTTGGGCCTCGCCTCTCATTCTCCACACCTGCTACATTACTACTAAGCAGCGCTCAACCGCAAACTGACGTGACATGCCGCGATCCAAATCTGCACATTAAATAAACGCCTCCGTCAATGCATATGCATAATCTGACAAACAAAAGAGTCATTTTCTGTTCCCGTCGGCCATTACTCATCAATAATGAGCTCCCATACCGTAAAATGTTACACGGATCGGCTCTCTTACTAATCACGCCGCTTTTCCTTTCACATCCATAGGCTGTATATAGACCATCGTTAGTAAGTCCTTCCACCCGTAAAAAGGTACTCAGCTCTCGCCTTTGTGTACTCGTATGCATTATGTGAATACTCTTTGTCTTTCGCTGTCATGAAAGTTATAAACCTGCCCGGTGTCACCTCATGATCCGCCAATCTGCATTACTAGAATAAGCATCAGTCTTCCACCACCTACTTTCAAAATAACGCCCAAAACTGTTACCATGTCTCTCAAATTGTCCGTTTACACCTGCCCGCCAATCCCGACCAAGGTGCCTTCTCCAGACGTCTCATCCGAGGACTCGGGCCTTTGGTCACCTCTCTCAATCACTCTGCTCTACACTCCCACGGCTGCCCTCGTAGTGGATTGCCCTGCCACCGTCAATCCTACACGCGAACTGGCAGAATGGATCAAATCTCAGCTGCCTCCTAATAGCACTCTCAAGTACTTTGTCTGTACTCATGCCCATGGGGATCATTTCCTCGGTCTCCCGGTCTTGGAAGAGCATTTTCCCGGGTTGCAAGCTTATGCTACCAAGGCCGTCGCTGAAGGAATCGATCTACAGCAATCACCAGAAATCAGGGACGCGGTCTGGGCCAATACGTTTCTTCCCTCTAAGGATGGTTCTGGTTTACCGGATGCGAAGTCCGTTTTTCTGGCTCTTCCAACATCCAATGAATTCAATCTCGACGGTCACCTGTTCAAGCTATACGATGTCTCTCATGGCGACACACACGCTAATTCGTTCATCTACGTTCCCGAACTGGATCTTGTTGTGGCAGGCGACATTATCTACAACGGCGACTGCCACCAGTGGTTAGGCGAGGCGTCAAGCCCAGAGAAACGAGCCCAATGGCTTGCAGCTCTTGAGCAGATAAGCGCCCTGAGGCCTAGGATTATCGTCCCTGGTCACACATTCACTCCATCATCGACGCCGGACGAGCATATAGCAACAGCCATGCTCACAAGCACGGCAGATTACATCAACGGATTCGAAAAGGAGCTTGCAGCTGCCACAAGTGAGCGGAATCTCTTTGAGAGAATGCAATCCCGATATGATCGGTGGAACTTGTACCTGCTCGCGGGAAGCTCAAAAGCCGGATGGAACAATCGCATGCTCTGACTTAAGATGTCTTGGTAATTGATACAAGAGCGTATGACAGTGAGTGGTGCCTACGAGGTGAAAGCTAAGTATGATTGAAACGAAATTTTATGCAGTTCTAGCTAAGCCAAGTATTGGTCTCTAATCATATTAGCTCCCAGCCCTTACGATTATATGTGATAAGTCCAAAGGGAATAATAGCATTCTTCTCTATACACCACAATTTCTGTGAGTTGTAGTGACCACGCGTTATCAGTCGTGACGTCTTCAACTTTTGATCTCGTTAGTGAATAATCACCGCTGGTGTCTAGGGTCTTATACAGTCCAACCCACGTGAAAGCTAGGTAACGTAGTGGTCTGGTAGCAATTTGCGCTGAGGCTTATTTGACACGACATAGCAAGAGCATAGCATGAAGGTTTGAGCTGACATAGTAGTTATTCACGTCAATATATGCTTCTGGATAACTGACTAAGACAGGAAAACAACTGTGAATATAAGCAGAACTCACTCAATGAATTTGATGTAGAGTATATGCCGGGGTTAGACAAGCCCTTATTATCTTGAGATGTTAACTCGATTTCGTTTTCTCTCAACGCCGAACTCACCAGCTTAATCAGTTGAGAGACTGCCTGAGAATGCTGTATTAACCGCACTCATTGTTGTAGCAAAGCCTCCGATCATTGCTCGACTCTCTAACAATGATCATCTTCTCCCGCCAGAATGACAAGCTGGGATGTTATTTGCGTGCTTTAATGCAAAACAGGATATTTATGCCATCTATATACAAGCTACCACATTATGGCTTAAACCTTAAGAGGCAGTTTGCTTTATTTATGCTTATTCTAAGCCACAACCTTATGATAAAGGCTTACAAATAATGAGAAATCAAGAATAGTATTCCGCTGCTGTAAATTAGCTAATTGTTGGACACCGGCATCCCTTAAAGAACAGCCTCTACCATCAACAAGACAGGAGTCCTCCATTTCCGTTAGTTTTCCCTTTTTAAATATCGACCAAGACTCATGTGCTTTCTGTAAATCAGGCAAATCATGTCCTTCCTACTGGCAGCTCATGAGTAGCAGGAAGTTTTGTACCACTGTCTAGCTCTTGTCTATTGTTACCAGGCGATCCATAAGCTTCAAATATTGGCTGTTGCGAATATGCTGTAGTCTGAGGATCTGTTTGAGGCATAGAGTAAAATGAACCACCGGGTGCCTGGTGACCATATTGAACTTCTTGAGCAGGGGTCGCGGGATCAAATGGAGGCTGAGCTGTTGTGTTGGTTTGTGGTGTCTGTGTAACAGACTGGCGTTTCTTCCGCTTCAGAAACCAGGTAATGGCACCTATAATGGCACTCAGGATAGGTATCCCTGCTCCCAGGCCCGCGCCTAATCCAGTTTTAATTCTATGTTGCGATGTTTGGTGAGCTATGTGAGTCTTCGAGCTTTCATCCCCGCTTCCGCTATTGCCAGAGGATAAGTCTAGCGATGCAGAGGAGTTTGCAGTATCGGTCTTGGTGCTGCCTCCTGAAACCTCTGTAGCTGTAGTAAATCGCTTAGTCAAAAACTGATCTGTAGTACTATGGAAGTGGCATATTCACCTGTGCTTGAAGCTGATGCCGATAGAGTGGAACAAGTCAGGTTGTGACCTAAAGTCACACCAACAGCTTGGCAGACAGATCTTGCATAGCCCTCAGCAGCCTCGCGATCTCCGTCGGAACATTCCTTGTGTAAACAACATATCTGCTCTTCGAGGTAATCCTCATCTTGACAGATACACTTGTAATCGAAACTGTTACAGTTTGTTGTAGGTGATGAGCTGCTGCTAACTAAACCAGTGTAGCAATTGCTCTACGTGATGGGGTAGTTAGAAAAGCCAGACTGCAATGACCAAATCACTACTACTTACGGCGCAACTAGGAAACTCAGCTTGAGCGGCGGCAATGCAAGCCCAATGGCACCAGGCCACAAATACTATCACGCTTGTAAATGGACCCATGGTGAATCTATCAGAAAAATCAGAGAGGGATTCCAAAAAATGACCAACGCTGGCTTCTTATCAAAAGGTGTTGCGAGATCCCATTTATGTCTGGAGCCTTTCATCTTTTCTCGGCTAAATCGGCCCAGCTGATGTCCAGCTTGGATAGTGGCGCGCATGGGCTGAAGCCCGGGTTCATCTATCATGCTTGCAATAGGCCAGATAATAAAACTGATCCAGGGTTCGTCGACTTTCATAGGCTGACGGTCGCTTAATTCGGGTAAAAATGCCGGCCAGCAGCTAAGCTTGTAATCTGGAGCCAATAGCCGTCTGGCCTCCCCAGTACATAGAGAGCTGCCCATCTCACCTATCGGTAATGTTCATGGGGTTGTCACACTACTCGTTCCTGTTTAGCAGCACAAATCACAATCATTCCATCTTAATGTTAGCGACCCAATGCCTCTGTGGCCTCCGTATACTCTGCTGTTGTAATTAGATGTAGATATCCCCCCATTTAATGAACTTGTTACTGACTTCACAGATATGAAAAAGCAACAGGCTGTGAAAATTAGTATATGCAACCTCATCACGAGCTATAAGAGCTCTGGATATTGTTTTTTATACTCTGTACTTCTTTAAAGGGAGCATCGGTTTGGATCACGATCTGCACTGTCATCCTCTCCTCAAACAATATCCAATGTTAAACTTTTCGGGCCATTTCCGCCCTGACAAAAATGTTTCTTTCTTAGCGGAATTTGTTTGGAGCCCTAAACTGAATAGTGCAGGGCACCCCGGAATTGAACTACTCCTCTTACAGAACGGAATATAGTAATAGTTCGCCCGATTAAAGAGGGGTTCAGCAAGCAGGTAGATGAAATGAAACTTAGCTTGGGCCTCAGAGATAAGATAGGAGTAAACTGCGCAACTGATGTAATACTGTGTTTAGATCTAATGAAAGCTGCGGCATATTGCTTGAACAGATCTCGATGTGTAGAAAAGGTGATATCAGTTTTTGTCATACTATCGATTTCCAATCTTCATGAGGTAGGGATATGCATTTAGCTTTGCAGCTGAAAAAGGATCTGCTCTGTTGAATGCTAAGATGTATTGTGCCGTGTGCTCGGACGTTACATTCTCCAATTTCCAGCCCAATAGGAACCGACATGGTGAAAGTCCAGCTGCATTACATTTCGAAGCAGGTTAATATGGATAATCTTTTACTTTAAGCTGGATAGCTAGCTCTAGCCATTACGCAACTTGCCCCATTCTAGCGCTGTGAATAGATACTGGCAATAGTTACGCCATAGAAACATACAATACATATTCATAGCATGGTACAATGGCTCGATAAGTATATAGGTCTGATGGTATTCTTTTCACTATTAGGAAGGAGTCTCTCAAGCCATTTAGCCACTCCCTTAAGACTCTTTATTATTTCATTACCAACCTTGCCATTTACCTCTTTATTTGCCAGCCAATATTCCAAAATGGGTATTAAAATCAGCGAAAAGTTTCTCAATGATCTAACCACCAAGCTTATTAAGGCCGCCGATAGTGGCCAAAAGCTGGGGGTCACCGACCCCGAAGAGGTCGGACAATATGTCTGCTCCGTCCTGGCTCTGGGCTGTGAACTTATCCCAGTCATTGGGAGCAGCCTTAGCGCCCTTACTACACTGTTCGGAAGTTTACTCTTCCATCCAAATGCAACTGAGAAGATCTGGGAGAAGCTGCGAGAGCGCGTCGAGGCACTCGTTAAAACCAAGATCACAGAAACTCAGTTGAGCATTCTGAGGAAGAAGATCCGAGGTCTCCAAGATAATATGGAGAACTATACACGAGTCTGGGAAGACTACAAGGATTCATCGGGCGATGAGCAGATGAGAGCAAGGGACACGCTCAAAATGACTCACATCGCCTTTTTGAGCGTAGTCAGAGCTGCTATTCCTGAGTTTCGGGTCGAAAGTTTTGCAGTGCCTTCTCTTCCCTTATTTGCTCTCGCAGCCAATATCCACCTCATGCTGCTATCCGATGGCATCAGGCATGGCATAGCCTGGGGCTACTCGGAAAAGAACATCAACACAATGCGTGCCGAGTTTAAGAAGAAAACTTCGCCCCAGGGTGTTGTTGGATATGCAGCAACGATGGCCTCGGAACAGAACCATCTACTCAAAGGTGCTATCGCCACGGCCATCGACCTGGAAATGCCAACTACTATAGTCGCTACATGGGAAGACGCATATTCTGACCTCGTTGTTCCTGCATCAGGATACGCAGGGAATGGTGAAGGATACGATGATCTTGATTATGCAAGCTACGCCTACAAGGTCTATTATAAAGGGCGGGGACAGGTCCAACCTTACCATGCGGAGCTTAATGACGCCGACAACAGGGGAAGTACAGCTGCAGCCACTCTCAGGGCCTACGCGGACTACGATTCCGGTATGGTCATGAATGTGCTCAACTACGCCGAATACTGGCCATACTTGGCAGGAGACAAGATGCCCGAGTCTGTCTTGAGAAAATTGGACCGAGAGATCTACTTCGGCCCGTTTGGTCGTCACACGACTAATGCCGCATGGAGCGAGTACAGTGAAGCTCCTGTCACTGACCGTGGTCCTCCCATCACTTCCGCGTACGTGAGGGGATGGGATGACATTGATGGGTTGCAGATAAGGTACGGAAACTCCTGGGGTCATGCTTATGGGTCGACTACTGGGGGTGCGCCAAAACAACTCGACCTCGCTGAGGACGAATACTTCTACTGGGTCAGCGTTTACTACGGACAGAAACTTGGAAAGGTCAGATTTTGGAACAACAAAGATAAGGCATTGGAATGTGGTAGTGGAAAGCATGGATCATACTATGGTTGTGCTGCACCACCTGGCTACAGATTGACAAGTGTCTATATTACGAAGTGGGAAAGCTTCACTCCACCAGGCTGTGAGGGTATCATCTTGGGCTTCAGGTCGTCTCTCATCGAGTTCACGCCTAATTAAATAGCTTCACTTTTATGCAATGAATGGAATGGTAATTGCCATATCTTTGGCATAGTAACAACCCAATGCAGAGACTGACTTGAGTACTATTTCTATTAATGTGAACCATTACAGAAACAACACTGACAAAGAATGGTGACAATGTTCACTTGTGTTAAAAAGCATCGAATGTATTCAGTCTGAGTGAACGGATCACATACAAGGCAACAAAACAACACAGACAAAGCCAATAGAATAAAGGAATATCCTAAAATAGATTCCACCTCGTTGGGACATTCTCTCAAATTGAAAGGATAAAGATGCTAAAGGTGAGAATTGCAACAATTATTTAAAAATGCTATTCTGGGAAACCTAACAAAGAAAGGATTGTGTTTAGCTTAAAGGCATGACATCGCGCCGCGATAAAGCGATACAAAACGTGTAACTCAGCTCAGAATATAAATGATTAGAAGCCTTCTTGGTATACTTTACTAAGAAACTTCTATACAAGCACAAATACCTACCAACTATTATCCGCAAGACTTACTATATGCAGAATCATCACTTAATTGAGAAGCACTAAAGATGGATCCTATCTACCGCGACAAACTGATATACTCGCTGGGAATGTTACTTAAGGAATTGTTCAATGGCCAAGACAGTTATCACAACAGTGTTAAGGACCACCTCCCGGTAGACCTTGACCACAACAAGATTGAAGAAATCCTCACGATTCTGGGCCCAGAGGATTTCTTGAGTCAGGCACTCCGATATTACGAACACTGCAGTTCCAACCCGAAAGGACACCAAGGTGAGAGAAGACTGGTCGAGATCAGAGAGCGCCTAGACGAAAAGTACGGAGAGTTCTTAAGGGGAAGCAATCTGTTGAAATATACAGCACAGAAGGATTGGCTTCAAGAGGCGCTCAGGTCTCCAATCTTCGCAAACCACCGCGGGTGGAGACTTCGCTATCATCTGGACAACCCTGCACCTGAATCGCCCGACGATAAACTCCGAACTCAGCTCAAATATACAATTGACAGCGAAATGAAAATACTGGCCGATGATCAGCAACAATCTCGCCCTGAGGATTTGGAATTGCCTACATTCTCCCCGACTACGATCGAGAACAGTTTCTCCCTTCTCAAGCCCTTCGACTACACAGAGCGATATTCACTTCACTATATTCTCCTCTGCAAATACTCGGGAGATGAAAACATGACACACCAAGAGGCAGACAGAGAGGCACAGATTCGCCTCGATGAATATAAAGCGGAACATTTTGAGAGCATGCGTGAAGAATCGAGACAGTTGAGCGAGTGGGAAGAGCGTGAGCAGGTGAGAGACTGGAAATACTGGAAAGAGATAGAGCATAACCCCGACGATTTCATTTACTTAGAGAATTTGTCTGAAGATGAATGGCCTGAAGCGGGCGAGGTTGAGGAAGAAGGATCTGACGACGATGGATCTGACGACGATGGATCTGAAGATGAAGAATCCAAGGATGATGGGTCGGGAAGCGAAGTGTCTGAGGGTGATAGATCACCCAGTCCGAACGGTATGGACATAGATTTGCCGGAACCCACCAGCGAAGATCTCACTCTTCAGGTCTCAGCGCTTCATATTTCTGGCAAAAGGCCAAACGGTGAAGGTGGCGGAGTGACAAGGACGGCCAAGAAGCGTGCTTTTGACGATAGCGACGACACTGATGATGCAGCTGCGTCTGGTCATAAGCGCGTGAAAGTCGAACATTGGCGAAAACGCTTTAATAAGTATCCTTGGATGGGGGGTGAGTTTTTGGCTGATTGAGCTGAAGCTAGAGAGAAGATATGGAGATAATAAAAAGGTAAGTCTTTATGTATGTATTTAGAATACAAATAATAGTAAAGGGTATAGACTCTTTCTAAATAAATAGCAATAACTATACTAAAGCTTTAAGTGCGACTTTAATAAAATATAAATAACATTTATAAATAACCTTATTTTATTACTAAAATTCTATAAGATAGTATTTAGGAAAGGGACGCCTAGTTATGGACTAACTACAGCAACTAAGCTCTGAGTAGAGTCTCTACCTCTTGTGTAATATCTCTTAAGGGGAAAGATGTTCTGTTGCCAGGCAAGGTTCCATTAATAGCATCGCCAAAGAACTCTGTGACAGCATAAATACTATCAGAGATCTGCACAGATGCAACAGTGAACCCGCCCTGGCTGAGGTAAGGATTGGAGATAGTTCCGAGATTCTCCGCAGACTTCCACTTTCCATTGCTGGATCGCAGAACAACAGTGCCGTTGGCATTGTCACTGACCAGAAGAACAGTACCGGCGTAGAGTGAGGGCAAATGCAAGCCGTCGAGATTCTGACCCAAGGCTTTGCCATTCTTGGATGTCGGAATACGAACCGGCTTGCCCTTCGCTGCCTTGATATCGAATGTGTAAAGCTGACCATCCGTGTTATCGGTCACGAAGAGGGTATCGCCTTTGCGGGAAATTCCCGAGAAGCCGTGAATGGTATGGTTGGCTGGCTCGACGAGATACCATGGGACAACCGACTTGCCATCTGCGCTGACTTTGATCAGACTGCTCGGAAAGGTTCCGAGAACGAAAGTGTTGCCTTCGTCATCGCTTTCGCTGTCTTGGAAACCGCCGTATACACCATTGGTCGCCTTGGTCAGGTTCGCTCGCCACAGCAAAGAATTGTCTACAAGGTCGAACTTAACAAGCAAGTTGTCGCCCTGGATATTCTGGCCACCGGTATCAAAGGCAGCGCCCGCGTCGATGACAACAGAGAGTCGGTCCAGAGTGTCGACACGCACACCGCTTGAATGGAGCAGAGGGTCACCGCTGAGCCCAGGAGCCTCGAATGTATGCACTATCTTTCCACGGTAGGGATCCCAAGCGACAGCCGTTGCATTGTACAAGACGCTATACTAAATGTCAGGCCTTTGTTTCGTTACTTTTTTTGATCTTCGATCAGTACTAACCTGGAGTACACAAGACAACGGCGCGTATCGAAGTCAACATTCTCTGGGTACAACTGGTACGCATCGATCGTCTTGTTGCCAGAAATCGATGGACAAGTGTAAGGACGAGGGATTGAGAACGCGAGGCTAGCGTGAACGGCCAAGCCGAGAAGAGTGATCTTGGATTGCATGGTGATTGTTGGACTTGTGTTTCGTCGATTCAAGGTGCACAATGAAATGTGATTGAGGATGGTGGCCAGCTGTTTTTGAGGCGGAATGCAACATTGTACTTATACATGCAGGTCTGCAGGGTTTATCTGATCTTCTAATTATTGTGAAATCGTTCCGAATTGCTTTTACGTATGTTTCGTCATGCTTGCGGCTATGCCGCCATTGGATTGAACCTTATTATGACAAAGATATCCGGTGGGATAATAATGCAACTGAGCAAAGCGCGAGCTTGGACCCAACTTGAGAGGAAAGGCCGTAAATGGTGACCCACTGAGTGGGATACACAGAGTGGGATACAGTTTGCACGTCCAATGCCGATTGAATGGGAGCTGTTGTTGCACGTGATATCCCACTTGATATCCCACTCGGTTCTATCACATGGAAGCAAGAACGTAACTGGCAAAACTCAAAGAAGGTGATATTTAATTAGTTCAAGTAATTATTGTCAGTATACCCACTGGTAGCCATGGGTGTTTCTGAGCTTTGAAAAGAGACGCTGTAAGTCTTGGGGAACTTTCATAACTATATTGACGATAAAAGCAAAACAATATCTCAACTGCTGTCCGTTCCAAGCCTTCGCGTAGGCAATCCAGCAAGGTCAAAATTAACAACTCGAATGTCCCTACTCCCATGGGCGACGACGAGAGTGTCTACCTCTAGGATGAAAGCGCCAGATCGAAATTCTGTAGGAAGCCGCGTGAGCCTAGCAGCTAGGTTCGCCAGGTTCATTAGCATCAAGCCTGGTATAGCTCGTTTCTGTAGACTTGGTCTGGATCTGGGAATCATGAGGGCCCGACTTGTCCACTTCATCAGTCTTTTGATCTGAACGCCTCTTCACCACTGCGTATTTCTCAGGGATTCTATTCTCCAGTGATTTGCTGATACCACCTGATAAGGACGTTAGCAAAGTCCCAGCATGCCTTGAGAACCTTAAATATGTGCGGGTTTCGCGGGAGAAAAAAACATACAGAGGATTTGATATAAGTACTTGGCGACCACAGGTGCCCATATCAATGCAGCCACCAATTGACCAATGTTCCAATCTTCACCGGGTGTGACCATATGTGAGATCAAGTAGCAGGCTTTGCCGATAAAGACGAGTAGCGCAATCTCAGAAGCGAAGTAGAAGACCGGCAAGACCACCGCGGCGCCGAGCCTTGTCGTGTCCATGATCTTTGAAACGGCTGGACTCTCATGCCATACCTTGTACTGTTTTAACCCACTGACAGCTATAGCCACTTTTTCGAGCACCAAAACGCCATACAACACAAATATCCACGGCATCACGCTCGGGCCGGGCAGCAGATAAAAACCTGAGCTACCCGAGCAATAAGCCCGTAACGAGGTGTTGTAGCCGCATTCTTGCACGGAGAACTTGCTCGAGAACATGCCCCAGAGTTTGTCTTGCTGGTAACTCAACGCCGTCTTGTAGATGACGGCTGCTCCCATAATGAGAACCACGGCACACAAGAGTAGTGAATAGACGGAGCTGCGGCACATGCGCCTCAAGCTGAGCTGATTGAGGACGATCGGCAGGAGGACAAACTGCGCTGACTGCCGGATCCACTGCTGGTCAACAAGATAGCTTGAAATGCTGCTGGCGTCTATGAACTCGGCACCTCTGAGGGTTGCTATCAAGAGAGCGATTTGGATGGCCAGGACGAAGAATACCTGTGCCTCCTGAAACTCGACGAGTAGATTAGTTGTAGCGTCTGCTATGCGAGACTCCTCGACCTTGGATAAGAAGTGTGTGACGCGAGGGCTGAGAGTTCCGTTCGCGATTGAGAGTTTATCACGGGACCATTTAATGGTTTCGGATGTAGTGAAGAGGCGAGAGATAACAAACATATAGATTGCAGCTACAGCCTGTAGCATATAAGACAAACGAACCTAAAATTCAAAAAAGCTTGAAGATTAGCCAAATGCGATAAATTATTCGTATCTCTCTGCCAGTTGGGTGTATTTGTCACTTACCCCTGGTCCGCCAATGTCTGTGTTAAGTTGGTTCTTAGGCACGGTCGCACATAGTTCCGCGATATCAGTAGTCAGACTCGTGAGAATTCCCATTTCCGTGCTTGGGGCCTGATAGCCCACGACATTTTCGGCATGGCAGTCTCCAAAGGTGTCGTCGACGGTGCAAGAGGCCCTGATACAATTCCATGTCAAGTTCAGAACTCGAGCACCATCAAATCCAGTTATATCAGGAACGCCAACCATGGAAGCAGTCCTGCTCGTCGCCTTGATATAGGACGAGCTAATGTTGAATGAGGCTGTCGTGCCGATGGAGAGAGCGGCGAGTGCCAAGCACGAATATTGCGACTGCCACGTCTTGAAGAGCAGCGACGGATCGGAACATACTTGGGTACAATTAATATCTCCACCTACAGATATTGCGCAACCGTCGCCATAGATAGTGAGGGGGGACCCGTTGAATCCGCTCGTGGGGAACAGACTGAACATGACATTGGCGTTGTTGAGGGTGTCTTTGAATATCATCTCCTCGTCTGCCATCGCCATATGCAAGTCCGAGCTAGAGTTTTGCACATAGCGAAGGAGGCTTGGCGTGCCGGACATCGTGAGAACATCGGTTTCGGCTTTGATTTATGCTGGCTTCGTCTTTGTTGGAAGGCGGGAGAACAAAAGCTGCATATGAATAGGTAGGCAAAAGAAGGTAACACGTGAAAATAGGAAATTCAGTAGCAGAGTATGTTATTTTAATGTCTTGGGCTTTCTCCAACTATTAAGTAATTGCCATTCAATTTTGGCCACCGTACATAAGTAAGCACTAGCCAAAGGCATGGCCTATAGATACCAATGTCAAACGGAGTAAGGCCTCCACCCCCGGTCAATTTGCACATGCAACAATGTCAGATCGGCGAAGAGAACGTGTCTACCTATATACTGGATAGCATCTTATTCCTCCTTTATTCGTTGAAACCCCATCCCTTAGCGTCGTTGTAATGCAGTGGTCTGTTGACACTTATTGATAATAAGAAAATAGCTGGCGCGGTAAAACGGCAATCGATTATCAGTATTTGCGGGATTTTCAGGGTATAATTATCAGCCAGGAATAATCAGCCAATGAGTATGGATGGGAATACGAAAGAAGGTTAGTGTTAGAGAAAGGAGTTTCAGCTACAGTACTAAAAAGGCTTAGCTAAATCCCGAAATTTAAAGCAGGCAGAAAGGATGGTTGCATTTTCTTGCAGCCCTAAGTAAGCTCTATGCCGTTTTAGCCGAGCAGTTTATATGGTCTTCGCCAGGGAGTTTCTAATTATTAGTCGCGTCCTCTTAAAGTTGAAGTCCTACCCTAGCTTTAGGTAGATTGCGCTTTGCACATAATGCCATACCTTCTACTGTCTCTATCTCAGCGCGCTGCAGCAATATCTAGGCCTATATCTTTTGGCAATATGACATCAGCTTAAGCTAATATTTAATAACTAATTAGTAGTTAGTTTCTGTTATAATAGAGTCCCACTCCTGCATTGTCTCCAAAATATCCCTTACTTTGGCCCCAATCTCTTCTACCGCATCTTTCCCAACAGGGAGACGAAACGGGATGCTTTTCCCTTCTGCACAGCCCTCTTGTCTGACCAGGTCAAGTACAATCTCGACAAACCTTTCTGGATTTCCAGGCTGCTTCAAGTCTCCACCATGAAGATGTTTATGATGAGTTTCGGAAGCTGATTCATAATCGGCAATTTGACTCTGCTTTGGCTGGAGATGGCCTGTTGACAGCAGAGGGGTTCGAAAGCGTCCGGGTTCCATCAAGAGGGTGCGAAGACCAAGGGACTGGGTTTCGTTATGCAGACTTTCAACAACGCCTAAATTTTATGTCAGAACCGAGATGGAAATATTGTCGGGGTCATATTCGAAGCAACCGACCTTCAAGAGCAAACTTTGAACCCGCATAAGCTCCAGTAAACTGGTGCCCGACCCAGCCAGACAAAGAACTAATAAAAATCATAGTCCCTGATTTCCTGGCTCTCATATGCGGAAGCACTGCACGCGTGATCTTGATTGGACCAAAGACGTTGGTCTCGAAGGAGGAAACGAATTCATCGTAGCTGGATATGTTAGCAAGGTCGACGATACCAAATACTTATCAGGAAGAATACCTGAGATCTTCCCAAGAGCCAGCAGCTACAAAACCAGCATTATTAACCAATACATTGATACGCCCATAGATAGCAATGGCTTTGGCAATGACTTGGTCAATCTTGTCTTGTGAGTCCGTGACATCTAGCTCGAGGACAGCTGCCCCTTGACTTGCAAGTGATTCAATCCTTGCACTGTTTTGGGCAGTTGCAATGATTTTGTCGCCTCGGGATAGGATCTGACGCACGAACTCCGATCCAAAGCCGGAGGAGCAGCCAGTGACAAGCCAAACAAGCTGGGACATGTTGACAGACAGAACAAAAAGTAATAATTGAGAGCAGATATAAAATGCGAGAGGGAATATTGGTGGAGGAAGTGGTGTGAGATACGCTGAAGATAGAAAGAAAGAAAATACAAGAGAAGATTCTGCGCTTTTTATAACAATTTACGGATCTCTTAGGAGAGAATTCGGCATTATGTTGCTTTGGCGTATTTTGGTGACAACGGCCAAAGAGTGGAGCAGTCCATACTGAGGCATGCGGGAATGTCAGTGTTGGAGCGGGCAGAGCGGAAGCGGGGCTTGAGCTCGCTGTAAACCTCGGGGTAAGCAGAGCGGGCAGAGCGGAAATGCGAAGTCATTGCGGCCAGACAGAAAAATAATGGTTGACTGTCTCAACTTCTATCGGCCCTATTATCCTTGAAATGATGTCAATTTTGCATTTTGCTGCCCTCCAAGTACGAAAGATATTTATCTGCGTAGGATTGATCAGCCATCTTGCAAATATTTGGGTCAAAATGTAGGAGCTCACTGCAAACAGACCACTCGGACTTTAGAGCCTGAAGTGCCTGCGTGATAGCGTCTAACCCCGCAACCATCTCTGCATCATTGTTCTCCTTGACAAACCACGCGCACTCTGTCGCTGCATGATACAGGCAGCCAGCCAAGATGGGCGAATGTCTGGGCCCCTTGGAATGCTGTTGGCTGGCCGAAACTATTTGCCTCGCCATATGAGGTATCGTCTTGGAAACAATATTTTGTATACTCATCAAAGATATCTGCTGCATTTCAACCTCTGCTGCAAGCCTCTCGCGTGCCGTACTGAAGCTGGGCTCGTTACACGCATACTCATTGTAGAGAAGCAGTCGAGCCAAACTGCACAGTGATAACGCTGAATGTAAGCTTCCATGCACTGTCGTGATATCGCAGTCATTGCTCATGATGCCTTGATCTAACGCTGTCAAGACTATGTGCAGCTGCAAGGCTTCGGCAGTAAGTTCGACTGGGTCCGTGTCTTTTTCTCTGGCTTTTATGTGATGAAGAACCTTTCCAAACATGTGAACCGCTTGGCATACTCTTGCGAAATGCCCCACGGATGAGGGCGAATGGAAGTTGCGCGTGAATAGAGCTTCATTAAAACCTATTCGCCCACTCGTCCAATCATCGTCGTTGCAAGGAAGAAGATCACTCGGTTTTGGATCTGGAGCAGCCATCAGTAGCTGCGGCGAGCCTGCAACAACAACTCTAGTAACAATTAATGATGAATTTCCTATGATATAAATCTGTACATACCTGTCAAGCATTACGATGGCCCACCAAGTCCGTCTCTGCTCTTCGCATAATGTCCATGTTTCCGGCTCCACGAAAAGTTGTTTCGCTTCTTTTTGACTGTGTAGTCCAACCATGGTAGCCAGTCGCACAGCTTGTCCTATCGTCGAGTACGCGGCAGGGTAGATGCGATGGCCAAGCTCATACAAGGCTATGAAAAAAATAGTCTGTATCAGTCGAATGTTAATGGTTCCCCCACTCTCAGCGATAAAGCTGCCATGTTTTGCCTTTAAATATGAAGGGTTACTTTGCGGCAATGTGGTATGCTCATCATTCTGACTAATGAGAGCCTCGAGGGCAAGGAAGACCAGAACATCAACTACTCCTCGAGTTGAATCCCCAAGAGCTTTTGTGTTTTGCTTCAGGCGCTTGATGCTGAGAATGGGCAGCCAGTGGTGAATGGTAGTCTCGTAGTGTTCTATCAAAGAGCCGAATGAACCAGCGATTGCAAAGCGTCTTTGTTGCTCGACAAAAAAAGGGCCGTCATGCATTGTCAATATGTCTCGTGATATTGGCTGGAAGAAATCAGAGTCCAAAAAGTACGAGCACGGGAAGTTGTTCGTTTGGTGCAGGTCTAATTCCGTGCCAGGATCTGCGTAACCCTGACGCACCAAGCCGTTGGTGGAGGCTCTATGGCTAGAAATGGCATGTTCTGTTGCATAGTTGCATGTCTTGCCTAGCCGAGTACACTAAACAGAGATCTGAGACTTAAATATCCAAGCCGAGAGAAGTGAGTGCTTACCAGACGGCATGATGGGGTATCTCTTGAACATCTACGCTTAAGACGCCTACCGGCTCGTTAGTTATGGCTCAAGAGCTGCGATAAGGTCTGGTAAAGACATACCTACATGCCTCGCACGACGTAAAAGTATTGGCTGGTGGCATATTCGGTAATGGACTATTAGACACAAAGGCGGAAATTATGCCAGGGTAAGAATCATGAGTAGCGGAATGTGCGGTGCGGGGTTCGTGAAAAAGTGTGTGGCCAAGGCTGATGATACGGACAGCCATAGAGCCAAGGTATGTAGATTCGGAGATGTTCATGTTTGTAGAATCTAGCCTATCTTCTTCTCCCTAGCAATTACTTAGAGCCTTCAGACCTTCACGAAGGCTTTACCCCAATGCAATTGAGATATTTCTTTAAGTTTCGCTCAACTTTGCCTAATTTACCCAAAAAGAACATTACCCATATGGACAGCCCCCAAACAGATGTCTCGACCCTCCACATCTTTCGCATTTGCACGTTGCAGGCGAGCCTGTTGGCGGGACACTCCGAAATGAAAATATGTTTGTTCGTAGTGGCGTCGATGATGGGCTTAAGGGTCTCAGAGCTAGTGTTGGACCTGCTGGTGACAGGCTTAGCGGTAGACTTCGCGCAGATCTATCGTCGGTCTATGGTTGAAGATGCAGCCGACGGCGAAGGCATGGGTGCCACCTTGTCATCTGTTTTATTCTTATTTCCATATCCAGAGGCGGTACTCCACTCAGAGTCGCTTCCTGGTTCACTTTCAACCACTGGCTATGGATAACCACTTTGGCTTTCTGGTGCCTTGGGCAACGAGGGAAATGGCGGCGTTTTCCCTGCTCTCGGCCCTGAGTCAGGAGCTCTAGTTGTCTGACCAGATAACATAAGTGGATGAAGAGAATAAGCCTGGGGGTACAATGGCGTACTTCGTCGTGACCCTGCCGTCGGAGTTGAAGAGGTGGATTCGCTGCTCCCAGACCTACGAGGCTCAGAGTCCACATAGTCATCATCCTTAGGGTCTTCGACAATGATTGTCGTGGCTTGACCTGATTCTTGGGTCTGTTCGTCTGTTGTGTCTGTCCTTAGGTTGGATCTGCATGGACACGAAGATGTTCCAGCATTCAAGCTCAAAGCTCCAACCTTCTCGGCAACGATGCGATCCAACTCTTGAGTAAGCGTTTGACGCTCTGCAGCACATATCGCCTGAACAAGGACGCCCATCAGCATCGGAGTGAGACGCTGGTGCAGACTATCGTCAAGTTCGAAGCTAGAGTGATGATCCAAGACACTTTGGATCAGCGGAAGCGCACTACCTGAAAGGTTCATAGCTTGTTGGCGACGTGTCAGTGCCAAAGTAGTGGTTACAGAGTCAAGGCCACTTCCAGAGTGCATAAATCTCCACTGATCAATATATGTCGTTATCAGAGGTTTGTATACTCGCGTCGCCCAAGTATATGTATTCTCTAGGATAAGTCGAAACTCGACGATATCTTGACGAATAGTCATATCACCCTTCCAGGTGCATTTCATCATCTGACAGAACTAATCAGTAAATGGCATGAAAAGTTCCCGGACTTCATACTTACATAAGCTTGACTACGTTTCTCCCATTTTGAAGACACAAAATATTTATCCTCACAAAGTACCATGCAGCCTTTAGCAAGATATGTTATCCAAACGTTGACTTTCGGTCCGACAGTGGTTACAACTGGAATCGGAGGGATATGTGCCTCATCAGGTAGCTCGATAGTATACCTCGCCGCGATTTGGTTTAGCTTGACGGCACTTGCGCTGCCGTTGGCTGCTTGACAACACACGGTCTCCTCTAACCGCAAACGTTCATAAGTCGTATACTTTTCTTTCTTATACTCGACAAGAAGCCACGGATAACATTTAAGATCCTTTTCTCGAGGCTCCTTATGAAAAACACGAAACGGAGTCGGGCGAAGACCGTTCTTATAAAGCATCTTCAGGTTGGACCAAGAGAATGACTCCACAAGGGATGGCGTTGGTGTTTTATGCCACTCTCGAGCTCCGTGGTCGACAATTTCAGGTAAATGTGAGTTATCAATTAGATGATACATTGGAAGATAGAATGCGTAGTCGGGTTTGGGACATTTCACAGTCTCAAATCGTTGGGCTGTTGAATCGTCGACGTTGTCACCTTTTCCATTAAAGGTTTCCCATAGAGCGTCAGTGTCGCTGGTTATGTTCTCATCAGCATTTGTCACCCAAATCTGTCCTTGTCATACCTACAATACGACAGTGTCATAGTAATAATTGCATCGTGAAACTCTAATAGCGTACATATTAGTAACGTGCCTTTGGATGCAAATTCTACACTGACCTGCGTGAGTCTTTCGGCGATCCTGAGGCGGTTTGAACAAGTGGATCAAAGAATTTCTGTCGAAAGAAATTTTCCCAATCACTTTCGGAGTACCCTCCTTTAGAGTATCTCAGCCAGACGCTGGATGACGGCTAAATCCTCTCTACTAATTTAAGTTCTCAGCCATTAGTTTCAGTTGAAAATACCACAGCTAACTCACGACTTCTTGGCAGCATCTTCGTTAGAAGTTGCGTCGAAGTCTTGATATGCGAAGTCGAGCATTGACTGTCGAAGGGTTTCGGCATGGGGCGGAAACGGAGCCCACGGGATCGTGGTGCGGATAGATGCATCGAAGAAGAAGCCCTTCTTGTTTAAGTCGTCGCGATCCCAAGACATCTTCAACGTACGATTGAAGAAGAGGGTAAACAGTGAGGGATTTAGTTAGGGGTTAGGTTGAACCTGTTGGTTGTCGACTTTCTCTGGTACATGTTTACATGGCAGGGTTACATTTGTCGGTTCACATCCCTGTTTGATTCAATGTGTCTCGTGATGCCTGCCTACTGGTTAGATTGCATTACGAAACTACAGAGCGATTCATATATCTATTATTGCAATCGGTATAGATTCTTCCTATGGTTTTCTTCCTATACATCAGAAACCTAGTTCAAACTCTCTCTTTAAGTATTTGTTTTCCTGTAATAAGAATATCCTTAACCTATGTATTCAATTTAGTTTTGCGTGTCTATAACCAATCTACTTGGACCCCATATTTAAGCCATGTGATGAAGAAGCTGAAACAGGGATGATGCCCAATGAGCAAATAACAGACCACTTATTCCATTAGGCTAGACCTCAATCGCTCAAGGCCCGGATTCCCCGCGACCCGTACCGAGTTTAGCGTGCTTAGTAGCCTCCTTTGAATTGGCAGGGAAACTTCAGCCAAATGATCAAAGAAAACAACCACCAGATCATGGAAAGCTAGGCTTGACACAGAGCACGGAATCTACCCCTTTACAAAACTAGAGTACATCAAATAATAAGGACTATATAACTTGAAATAAATACATTCATAGTATATAGATAAAACCTCTCATCCTATTCATACACCGGCACATATTTCTTCCTAACATAGTCCCATACAAGGTTCTCGTGGTCACTCTCTTCCCCATGAGCCTCATCATCGTACTCACATTCCTCGTCATCATCGCCGCTCTCATCATCTTCCTCAACTTGTTCATACTCCTCATCACTGGTACTCCCATCAACTTCAATCTCAATTGGTCCTGCGAGAAACTTAGTCCCGCTTTCTCGTTGCTTCAAAGGCCCAGCCGCTATAGTTTTCTTAAGACGTGAGGCCGACCTCTCCAATTGAGAAGTCAAACTGGGGGATACTTGCGCATCGCGCAGTGCTTTTATTCGTGCGCTTCGTCGCAAACCGGTCGGTGGAGTTGAAGATGCCGAAATGGGACTCCCATGCCTGTTGGAGGTCGGAGTCACTTTATCATTCAGGTTCATTGACATCATCCTGTCGACGGTGTGTTCCAACTGCTTGGTAGGTGACTCGTCAGCTTCGGGGCTTTGCTGCCGACTCCTTGTTTCTATTTCTTCCTGTCGAAACGCTACTGCGGTTCTTTTGGCGTGTAGGAAGGCTTGGGAATGAATATACTCCCACTGGTCGATATATTTGACCATCAAGGGCCTAAAATCTCTAATAGCCCAAGCATATATGTTTTGAAGTATTGATCTGAACTTAGCAATGTCGCGAGAGTTTCTCATGTCGCCATCCCAAATACATTGCATCATCTAATCCAAGTTTAGAATCGTTAGCAGGGTTCACCTTCATACTTCACATTCTATACTAACATAACTTTTGCCAGTTCTTTGCTTTTCCTTTTTTATGTCGCAACGGCATGCAAGGGAATTATCAGTAAAATATGTTATCCAGACTTTAACTTCGGGTCCAACTGTAGTCACGGCTGGGATCGGGGGAATATGTGCCAAGCCAGGTGAATTCGTCTCATACCACGCAGCAATCTCGTTGAGCCTAGCAGCACAACCGCTGCCGTTGACGGCTTGACAATAGACCTCTTCTCTCAATCGCGCGATGGCGCCTTTTGAGCCCCTTCTCGACTTGAACTCAACAATAAGCCACGGGAAGCACTTGAGATCTCTCTTCTCAAGGTCCTTTTTGAAAGGATCGAAAGGGGACGGTCGCAAGCCATGTCTGTAGAGTTTTCCCAAGGTAGACAATGATAGTAACGCCGAATGTTCACGCGGCTCCAGAGCTACATGAGGAGCTGTTTCTGATATGAGAGAGTCGGGGTGAATTGGAAAATAAAGCGCATAGCCAGGCTACGGTGCGCTCTCATTCTTCAGTCGATCAGACATTGTCCAGCCAAGTCCGTTCTTCTTTGTATTGAATATAACCCATCGAGAATCGAAGTCGCTGATTATATCTGGTGAGCCCGAAGTCTTTAGATCTCTCCGGAACTACTTACGAAACTATATTGTATTCCGAGGAGCTGTTAGCGGCTGAGATGCTTTCTTCAAGCGGCTTAAGGAAGTTTTCTTGAAAGAAGCTTGTCCAGTGCTTCTCTACGACCTTTTCGTTGGTAAGGTCCGTTGCTTGGTTTGCGAATATCTGATCCTGATCAGAAGCGTCCTGGCTAAAGTCATCGCAAGTGAAGTCAAGGATTGACCCTCGGAAGGCTTCCACATGATCTGGCTGGCCATTGGTTGAGATCTCTTCATTATAGAAAAAGCCACGGTCAAATAAGTTATGGCGTTTCCAAGCAGTCCCCTTTCTCATCTTTTTGTCAGAAATTGGTTCCATATTGATTGAAGAATAAAGAGGCTGAGGTCTTCAGTCAACACGTAGAATTTGGAATTGCAAGCAAGACTGAGAGGTCTAGCTCGGAATAGGAGAAGAGAGTGTTGGTCGACGACTCTTCCCCTCCATATATGCACGACGAGGTTCCATCTGTTGGTTGCGATATCTATATCCCTGCTTGGTGTGTTTCAGAATGCCTGCTTACTGGTCAGCCCACCTTCCCAAGCCGCATATCAACTCAAATATCAGCTCTGCAGGCATGAGAATTTTTGAACAATTTAAAACGCACACATTAAATCTTGAATTGAGATTACGTTCATTGCACAGCACTTTATCTTCAGATGGGATGAAGCTGAAGCTTTCGACTAAACATCTCTGTAGAATCTGCAAACGATCTTGAAATCCGCCTAGCCGGGAGTCCTGAGAACCTAGGCTGGGGTTGGATTCAGCTGAAACCAGGATAACACAGCGAACGAATGAGAGACCGTCAGTTCTTGGAGGCTAGGCCTTAACTGTGAGGCCCGGGTAACCGACCACCCTACCCGAGTTTAGCGTCCCTAGCTGCTCATCAGCCTTTACTCCGTAGGTCTTGAGACTCCCTTGCAGGACTCTGCAAGGGAAATTACACATACTCCAAAGATACGGGGGTTGCCGGGTAATTTCTTCCTGACCTTGATTGAGAGGTCCAAGTGTGAGCCACATGCACAAGACAGCACAGTCACGCAATTCAGGCTAGTCTTATCTGATGTGGGTTCGATCGAATTTGGAAAAGACTTGTTGCAGGCAAAATTTGTCCATTCCGGCCTTCTGTATTCCGTATGGCCCCAATTGTGTCAGTCTTGCGTTAAGAAACATCGTAAACGGTATCTTTGCTTAATATTAAGCTTCTTCTTTGAGTTTTCCTGTGCTTAAATGTATAGCTACTTCTTAAAAATCTTAATTGGAAACTTTGTGCCCATTACCTTATATGCCGCAGGGTTGGGATGCAGACCGTCGCCAGAGTCATACTGAGGGAGCAGCTTATCTCCATTTCCGATCAAAGCGGCGAAGTCGACAGTATGGTCAAAAGTCCCGTTTTTCAAGATCCAGTCGTTGATAGCGACTCGAGTAACTTCTCTTTCGGGAGCGTAGTACTGGTTTCCAAGCATCTGAGTGATTGTTGCTCCAACAGTGGTCATGCCCGCCTTCTTACTATCCTTCGTGATTTGTATATACGCTGCTATGAGGCCGTCTTTGATCCTCTTTTGGGTAGCATCGTCGGTCGCGGATGGTCCGATGTCATTGACCCCTTCGAAGACAACGACGAATTTGGCACCTGGTTGCTCCAGGGCATCTCGCTTGTATCGTTGGAGCAGAATAGGCCCCAGACCGCCTGAGAGGATAGCATTGCCACCTGCTGCCATGTTGTTCACAGCGACATTTGACATGCCAGATTCTTGCAAATGAGCTGCAAGAGCATCGGACCATCTGGAGATTGTAAGCAAAGGTACTGAAGGGTCGGAAACTCTTCTTACCGATCGTTGGTGTCGTCCGTACTTCCACGGCCGTCGGTGATACTGTCTCCGAGAAGTACAACAGCGAAGTGGTCCTTGGGTGCCCACGAGTCAACCCCGTTCGCAAAATACCAATGCTTGGCGCTTGCCTCAGATACAGATGCAGCGTTGACATGGTTCCCCTTTTGCATCCAGGACGTCGTTCGGCTGCCTGGATGCCCAGTAATCTTGTTTCCAAGCTGGCCCTTCTCAGTGTAGACAGACAATGCGAGGTTGGACAGAGGCTTCAGCTTGAAGTCAATGGGGTCGGAGTAGACAATCTCTCCTGCTGGGACAGACACGGACTTGTTCCCCTTGAACTTGAGCTGCTTCGTGGTCTTGGTATCGATTTGACCGACACCGGCCTTTCCCCCGGCTGGTAGAGCAATTGATGCCGCAGTGATGGGCAAGTCTGTTTTGCCAAAGATGTTGGAAAACCGGATACGGATCTTCTCAGCTCCAATGGACATGTGAAATGTTTGGCGGAGAGTAGTATTTTCGAACTGAGCTGCTGCATCTGCTCCTCCCTGTCGTAAAGTCATTCATTAGTACTTGAGGGCTTTGCAAGGGAGCTTCATCAGTTCTGGATGAAAACGTACAAAAGGAGCTGGGGCTAAGTTTGCAGGCTCAACTTCCTGAGGCATCGACGCCCAGGTGCCTACCCAATGACGCTTGTTATTGCCATTGGGTAATGCCGAGCCTGAGAAAACCAGGCAGGCTACTAGAAGAGCCTTTGTCTTGATGCGATCAAACATATCTGCAGTCAAGACCTCAATTGCCACAAATAGAAAAAACAACTGTTTACGAAGAATGAACTGTTAAAAGACATCACGATGGTCTTATACGATCAAGGCATGAGGTCACGGCAGAAAGTGGTATTAGGCTAAACGGGGGATCAGCATCTGAAACTCTATTTTGCCGGTACGGGCCAATGGCAGTTGGCTCCAATTGATGGAGTTGGTGCCTCCGAAATACCGTATGGAGCTTGGCTTAGTATGCTTAATTATCCAGTTAAGCACCCGCCAGTCTCCACTGAATATCGTGTCAAGCTGATCGTTCATGGATCGCTTCTGGAAAAACACTACCGCACCAATGAGCACTATTAAATGAGGTCGCAATATCTAATGATGTCTGGGGAAAATGCAGGACCCCAGAAAGCTCCACTCTAAACAGTCCTACCCGGGGACCTTGTGGTGAGCTCAATCTCAGCAGGAAAGTCCGTTGACGACGATAGAGAGAGTCTTGATGTAAAAGGATACCAGGGAGAAGAAGTTCTACTGCAAGAACAATCGCTGCCCAATGTTGGGATTGAAGATCGTAATGATTTGAACTCAACAGCGAGAATAACGAGTAGCGTGGTCACAATCCAGAAAATAATAAAAACCCACCACTTGTAAAACAATTCCGGCAAAATGCCCGCCTGCATCCTGAATATACCAGTAACAGCTATCAGGTCCTGAAGCCTGAATCTTCCAAGTCATCAAGCATCAGGGACGGGTCGGCGCTCATAATGTACTCATAGGTATCCATGAATTCGAAATCAAAGGAATCACCAAACCCGGCTACACCTGGAGCGTCGGATGTATTTGTATAGACGTCTGCAACTTGACGCTGCTCTATCAGTCCGAGATTCGAACTTGCTCGTCCACCTGCACCAAACTTTGTTCCAATGTTGGGCGTGCCGGCCTGAGACATACCAACTTCAATTGGTGCACGGGACTTGCGCCTCTGTGCACTTTATTTCTGGTAGTGTACAGACCGTAGGACAGCATCAAACATCACTGATGCCCCCAAGCGACCAGTGACCAGAAGGCCTCTCGGGAGCAGATCATTGACGTTGTTTTCGTCTTCACCTGTCGTTACATAAGCGCACGCAACTTCAATCAACCGATGGATGATCTCAGCAGCCCGTGTACGATCTGGATGTAAAGGCTCCATTCTAAATACGGCCTGTGCATCGGCAAGACGGGACATAGCCAGGTCAATGTCCTGCGGCGTTAGACTTGAATGCGACAAAAGAGCCCGAAAAATAAATGTCGCTGCAAAGAACAGGTGGCTGATGAGTGTTTTTGGCCAGAACGCTACACTGCAAGTAATCTCTTCTGAGCCTTGACTGGATTTATCACGGAGTTGGTGGAGCATATCTGATATCATTGTCGAAGCACACAGCAATCCGCCGATCAATACCGTGTCTCGATTGGAAATAACCTGCAGAGCTTCAACGGGCTCCTTTGGATGAGGCAATAGAAGTGTCATGGCAAACAAATACAGTTTTGCGCCTTGCAAAATGAGTTTTGCCTTGAGATTCCAGGAGTGCTGGTCTGAGCTTCTCAGTGTCTCCAGGTCGTTGATGCTGCTTTGTGTCTGGGAAAAGTGAAGGGCGGAGTCTGTGATCATATCGAGCTTTGCCATCGACGTCACAGTAAGCAAGCGAATCTCTAGTAGCCTGTCATCGGGCGGGTCCAAAAGGTTTGATGCTTGCTCTCGAGCACGAGATACGCAATTCAAGTAGTATCCAGCTGAGAAGAGGGATGGAAACCCCAAGAACTCACTAAGCCTGTGACAGTATTGCCGTGTGAGCAGCGGATCTCAGGGACGTTACACATGGGAGTAGCTGCAAGCCAACATACCGAGTGCTCAGATCAAAGCACGCAAGCCAAGTAGTATTCCTCACAGCAGCGTCGATGTTTGGCACAGCGCGGCGGCTGGCATTCCTCCTTAAATGTATGTTGAGGAGCGGGTTGGATGGCAGGTGACAGTTAAGCTGCATGGCAGAGTTCACAACAAGCCCCATATATCCCCAGGACAAGTCTTGCCAAAGGCGAAGCTTCGGAACTGGCCATAAGCAAAGGCAAAGCAGAGCATGCATCATCTCGACGGTGAGTGGAGCACGGAGAACTGTCGCTGAGAGCATGACCTCGTGCTCTGTCACAATAGAAGAATACATATGCGCGTGCTTTGGATGCATTTGGCAAGAACAGAGAATGATAGTCCAGAAAAGATGTGGAGAGAATTGTGAGTACTCGCTTAGAGACGTACGTATGGGCCTCAAGAACTTGGCGTGCGGACGGTAGTAGCTATCGAAGCTAGTTCTTGAGTCAGTTCGGCTCTCTGTAAAGCTTCAATTTGCATTCGGGCTATGTAATACTGACTGTTGAAATAAATCCAGAGCCACTCTGTTGTTCACGGTTATACTTCCGAGCTGGTAACTGGATGGTATGTCGACGCCTTTGAGCTGCAGCCATGTCTCTCTGCCCCGCGTACATCCGTTAATGCTAGTTGCGGCAGTATCTTGAGCAGTATCGATAGGAGCAGCGGAATATTGAGAGTCTGCATGAGAGGACGGACTAGAGGAGCGCGTGGAGTCTGAGGACGACATGCCGGGTTCTCGTGTCATTGTCGACTGCACCATATGACAATGGGCTTCCATGCTGCTTGATTGATCAGAAAGCGGCTGCTGAGGTTCGATGGAGTTGGTGATTGCCTCAACAATACTGTGAGTATGGGTATTAGGGTCGTTACTAAGGATGGGGTTCGGTCGATTGTTCTTGGAAACCGCAGGGAAGTTACTGACTTTCTTGTCGGAATTCGTTTGAAATTCGAATCAAACCGACATTGGAGCCCGCGCTTATTGCACCTAGTGCATGAGACTCCAGCGGGTTTGTGGCGAGCATCACAAGCCAGCTTAGCCTGCCGACATGCCGTACAGCTTTTTGCGCGGCTAGGTCTTGGATGCATAGTGACAGCGAATGGCTCAAGCGAAAGCTTGAGGAATATTAGACCGGAAATGGTCAACAGGTTTCTCTACGATAGACTGAGACAAAGGGAACGGCAACCCGGTGTAGATGGCGTTGACTCTTCGTCAAAGTCCGAACTGCGAAATTCGCAGTTCAGGACTTGGCAGACAAAGTCCGAAGAAGTGCGGGGCTGGTAAGTTGGTGCTTACGGGTTATGGCCAGTGAGCAATCAGATTTGTCTGCTTTGTAAGCCCATGTACCTACAAGATAAGGCGATGGCTTACGTGGAATTGCGGTTTTGGGTCTACGAGCAATGCCAACACCGGTGGCTGTGCCAGAATGTCGCACCCTGCGTGGCCTTCGACCTTGAAGATTTCTGGTATCAAACTGCGAAAATCGCAGTCTCGATTACACTAATCATGGTCTCACCAATGAACCAATAACAGAGAAAGACCCCAGTCCGTTGGTGTACGTTCTCATAGCAATGGCAAATATATAAATCAACCGCGAGAGTCCAGCTTTTAGATCCATCCCATGACCAATTCAGTCTTTTTACCTATTCCTGACTCGCACCAACGCAGCATGTCAGCAGAGCAAGACCTACGCAAGGGCTGTCACGCTTACATAGCGGGCACCCATACTTCATATGGCTATGTTCCATCCACTGCTGCAGGAATTGTCTTTTGTATCTTGTTCGGCCTCTCTACCATTATACACCTAGTTCAACTTGGTCGGTCTAGAATCTGGTGGTGCAGCGTCTTTGTCATTGGTGGACTGGGTATGTGTTTCCCGCTATATCTATTGCTGTGACCGTTGGTTAATGGCAATGAAAGTCGAAATCATCGGCTGGGCGGGCCGAGCTTGGTCCTCTCAATGCCCTTACAACTCAACTGCGTTCCTTATGCAGATATCGACACTGATCATCGGTATGCACTCCCGACATGATCTGGACAGTCCCTCTTGGCGTTTAGCTAACCGACTGACTATTTAGCCCCCGTCTTCTTCACTGCTGGTGTCTATATCATCCTTGGCCGCTTGATTCAAGTTTTCGGCCGCGACTGCTCCATCCTTCGACCGAGTCTATATCTTTGGATATTTTGTACTTGCGACACGATTTCCCTCGTCGTCCAGGCAATCGGTGGTGGTATGGCCTCAGTGGAAGTGAACAAAGTCAACGGCAACACAGATCCGGGTACGAACACCATGGTCGCAGGAATAGTCTTTCAATTGGCTTCCATGAGCGTCTTTGTTGCTCTTGCAATCGACTTTCTGGTTCGGTCCACTAGACGAGGCATGTTGAAATCCGGAAAGCAAACTTCCATTCCTATACTAAGTGCCATGACGCTGTCATTGTTGTGCATCTATCTGAGGAGCATATACCGCACTATAGAGCTTGTACAGGGTTGGACGGGTTACCTTATTACACATGAGCAGTACTTTATCGGGCTTGATGGGGCCATGATGGTAATCGCCGTTGGGATCTTCAACTTTATTCATCCTGCAAGTTTCTTACCTCGATCATCCACAGAGGATACAGGGGAGTGGCTGGAGATATCGCCGAGATCTAAGACAAGAAAATAAAGCTTATGTATTTGACGGTTAATGTGAAGGGGTATCGCTTAGATACTGTATAGAATGTCCAGTGACATTGCAATACTACAGCCTACAACTCCTATCACGATAATAGGGTTTGTAAGCCTGCGATTCTTTTAGGCACTAAGACTCTTCCTTCTCCGTTTCTCTGCCATTTTCCATTGAACCCAGACCAATGGTGAGAAGAAAACTGCAATCGCTGTGAGCACAAGGAACGCGTTCCGGATCTTGAGTCTGGCGATCATAGGCTGTATGACGCTGACGCCCGCAGCGCCGAGGAGGCAACGGCACAGGTTATTTGTCGCTGTGGCACCCGCTGAGTTATCCGGGAAATAGTCAACCAATATTGTCGAGTTGATATTGAAGATGGCCGTTGCGGTAGATGCGATGATGAATTGCAGACCCAGGGACGCAACCAGATTTCCCGCAAAATGCCTCCTGAGGTCATTGAACTCATAGCTCGGCCCGTACAGCCCCATTGAAACGATAAAAATCACGCTGAAATAAGGAAGCAGTGATAACCGGACACGTTCGAAAGGAAAGTCCCGGCAGGACTTGACGTCGACGTTGACGAGTCCATGCTCTTGTTTGTATCGAGCCTCGGCACGTTTGAAAGCTCGATCCATCAGTTGGCCAGTACATACCGACCCAACTACACATCCGATTCCATTTGGGAGGAAGCAAAGGCCGACTTGCCATTGTGTAAGGTCGGGGAAAGTCTTAAGTAGCACTGTTGTGGTTGAGGACGTGACCATACTCCAAATGGTGTACACAAGAGCGCCCCAGGAAAGTAGAACTAGAACATCCTTTCTAAGGATATAAGTCAATGGCTCAATGATGGTCTTCCAAGAGAGCTTCTCTAGCTTTGGTGCTGGTGGGGTAGAAGCGTTTGTCCATTCCCTGGGTGGGTGGAAGAAATAAGACCAGGGTTTGTAGAAGCCTTCAAGAGGCACGTCGCCATTACCAGCAATTGTTCGCTGTGTCTCTGGTAGAAATACCAACAGTCCCAAGAGAACCAACGCACTGAAGACGAAGAGGAACCAGAAGATGCTTCTGAATCCCCATGCACTGTTCAGCAATCCACCAATGACGGGACCTATAGCTTGGCCAATCATTCTGTATCAAAGTTGTCAATCAAGAATTCTTGTAGCTTTGGGGATGTGCCTACCTTATGCCGGCGTTGGTTCCCATGAAGCCCGCTCGCTCATCGGGTTCAGCGATATCGGCAATCACACCAGTGCTGATGCTAATCGTCGCAGCCGATCCAGCAGCTTGCAAACCTCGCAAAACCACAAGCATGGCCAGGATGGATGTGAAAGACAACGACACGTTTGCGGTGAGGTAGACTACGAGGGCGACAACAAATGTGATTCGTCGACCGCGTGCATCTGAGATGCCGCCATACAGTGAGGGCGCGATTCCTTGAACAATCATGTACACGGTAATGGTGAAACCAACGTCGGTCGCACTGACGCCAAGGTCTTTGGATATTGTATCGATCGCCGGGAAATAAATGTTAGATGACAAGGCGGAAAACGCTCCTCCTAGGGACACCATGTACACGATCATCCACTTCTTGTGCTTTGCGAAGATATGACGTGGTCGTTTAGATCCGCCAGATGGACGTGAATATACCTCTTGCTCCGTGTCACTTCCCGTATACGGCTGAAGCTCGACTTGTGTTCCAGACTCAGAGTGAGCGATGGTCGGTGTTAGTACGCCATTGTTTGGGGTATAGGGTGGTGAGGAAGATGCTGGCGTTGAGGAAAGGGGGCCTCCGCTCCCCACCAAGTGTGAATGATCCATCATCTCCAAAAAGGACTTGGATAGAAGTAATTCTTTGTAGAGGTGCTGTGAAGCAAAAATTAATGTTTGAAATAGAAGTCAAAGTGAGATGGGACTTGGACTGCTGCCAATTGTCAAATGGATCGGTGTCTTCTATAATATAATCAGATGCAAGACCGTGGTAGTGCCACCTTGTCAATAATACGATCATTAAACCATAAAGCGATACCTGCTATCTGACAGCAATCGGTCTCATCTCACCCATGTGCATGGCTGATTGGATCACTGTTACGAAAAGGTCGATCCCTATCCCCTAAAATCACTGACACTGCACTGCCGTGTTTCATGCACGTGCCCGCCTGCCATAATTCATTTGAGGTACACTCCTAAGTACAACTGAAAACAAGACGCGTCACTAGGAGAGACTGTGCGAGCCAGTCTCAGACATTTAAAAGCATGCCGGCCTTTTGAGAATTGCCGGCACTAGTTGTTGGTTACAGCTAGTAAAGCGCGCGGCAAGAAGTGTATTTTTAGGCATACTTTAGAGCTTGTCTCCCCTTTCTATCCTGGTCTAAGCATGGGGGCGTTATCAGACAGTTAAGCAATAGCTAAAGAGCCCAAGATAAAATGGCAAGAAGATAATATTTCAATATGCCCATTCTGCTAGATAATGCAACTATTATTAATCTATAAACGACAAGGAAACTGTAGTATAAGTAATTAACCTCTATGTGTCTTGAAATATTACAGTTAAGCGATAAACAGCTATGCTCTAACGGCTTAATAGCTATACCAATGTGCTTCTTACATATAATAAGACATCTTTCAAGAACGGCAGGTGATTTCAACAAGACTTGCAATAAACTCGGAGTTGGCATTCCCTTCTGTTTAACCGCGTAATCGTATATGCCCACAGATGAAATCTAAATGCCACCTAAATCGGTTAAACCCCCTATCTTTAGCATGACCGAGATCTGCAAGCATAGCCACGTTTTAATATGAGACAGGGTTCACTAATAAGGTAAGAGACTTACGCATTCATTGACATCATAGGACTCTAATGACCACGAGAAATGAATAGTTTGGTGATCCGAGCCGTCCTTGAGATTATCGTTCCAGGCTAGAAACCTATTTGCAGATCATAAGTAAGAAAACGCCCTAGCGTTACCTTTAGATTATAGGCAAAAAGCTTAGTTTATCCTCTGCAGTAAACCACACACTAAATCGAGCTTTCTCTTAGCAGGTAAGGAGTTTATACTCTTAAGAGCGTATAAAGTATCTGAACATACAGGAACTTATCTATTAGGGATTCATTCACATGATGCTAAGAATCTTATGCTGAATGGCAAATCAAACTCGTCATAGACTGTTAAGCACAAACATCGTACTGTATACGAATATGAAACCAGCCCCTAAGCTTATCAACAAGCCAAATTGATGTTCAGTAGCCATTGGTCTGCTTGGCTCTGAGACGGTTGCCAAGACCGCGTAAGCTCTGACAGCACGGGCGTTTTTAAGGTATAGTGAGCTAGCCTTGAAACGAAATAGATCAAGTCAGCTATTCCATCCTTGGCTAGAGTCTGAGAGTCTTAGGCCGATATCTCGGCAATCCGGCACGGATGGGCGTCGATCCCCACCCCCACCGAAAGTCAATTGGTACACGAGAGCCGCATTTACTGCTTCAATTGATAGTGAAAACGCCTACCATATCAGTGAGAAGACTGGGAGTGCTTACGCGGCCTCGGCGCAGCATGTTACATACATCTCGTATTCTTCTATGCAGTAATGCTGGAACCCAGACTGAAGATTGACTTTCACTTGAACTCTCTTACTCCACTTTGTCTTCCTGCGAGTTCCGTTAGCTGTGTGACAGTATCCAAGTGCTTGATCGAGAAACAAAGACTCGAAGAACAGGAGTCTGCTGCTGAAGCCTTCAGCCGATGTCAAACTGCAGAGTGGCATCATGAAGCATTCCCAAGCCCCACGACATGACTTGGAGTCATCTGTCGAGTACATGAACGATGGCTATTCAATGGAGAGTCCAACGGACTGGCCTGGGCCTCTGGATATGAATGACTTCGTTCCAAGACGACGAAACTTACATATCAAAGGATTGGGAACATCTTCGTTGCCACGTCTTCGAGTCGTCCAGTTTCGAAGGAAGCTGCGGAGAATCTTCTGCCTGCTAATTATTAGCTATCTCTCCATGACGTGAGTTTCGATATCCTCCTGCCCCATTCAGACTGAACCCTAGAGGAACATACTGATAAGGGAGCTCATCGGACAGTGGCCTGTTCCATATTCTAGGAAATACCTTGCATCATTACCTTCCGGACGAAATGGATCTGATCGTTCACCCGTGGATCGACTCCGCAGCGGCAACAATTGGCATCGGACACTGGTTATCCGACTCCACAGTGACCACACAACCTGTGAGTTGCCATTCACATAACGACTATTTGAGGAATGTGCCACTTTTGGACGCCATTTCTGCAGGTTGCCCGAGTGTCGAAGCTGATGTATGGAAGGAGGAGGATGACTTGTACGTGGCTCATCGTCATTTCCAACTACAGGTCAACCATACCCTGGAAAGTATGTATCTCAATCCATTACTCGAAATTTTCGACCGTCAAAGAGACATATTCTCATGTGGACGAGAGATGCCTTGCCATTCCCCTTCGACTGCTAATGAGCCTCCTGCTGGAGTTTTCGAGTCTGATCCGGACCGGCCGCTGGTGGTCCTCATCGATTTCAAAACAGAAGGAAACGCAACCTGGGAGAAGCTTCAGAGACAACTCGAGCCACTGCGACGCAGAAATCTGCTCACGCATTTTAACGGTACAGACATTGTACCTGGCCCCGTGGTCATTGTCGGCACAGGAAATACCCCATTCGACAAGATAGCAGCAAATGCCACCTACCGTGATGTATTTTATGATGCACCATTGGAGTTGTTGGCTGATGCGTCTCAAATTTGGCCAAATCCAAACAGAGCTCAAGCTGCAAGCTCTCAACAACCGGATAATTGCATCGAGCAAGGTGTCTTGCCGAGCAGCATTGAACGAAGGCAAGTCAGCCGATACAATGGGGAAAAGAGCAAATTCTCAAACCAGTACAACTCTCATAATAGCTACTATGCTTCTGCTCATTTCAAAAAAGCAGTTGGGCATGTTTGGGGCTCGCGATTGTCGCAAGAGCAATTACAACGCATTCGGGCCCAGATCCATGGTGCTCATCGATTGGGTCTCAAGGCCAGGTATTTTAGTGTGCCAGCTTGGCCTATTGGGCTGAGAAATCATATTTGGCATATTCTGACACGGGAGGGCGTGGATGTTCTCAGTGTTGATGACCTGCGGCAGGCAACTACGTGGGATTGGAGGAAGAAGAAGGGTCTGTTTTTTTAGCCCTTCTGTATGCAAACGATCTCAAAGACCAGCTCTTTAGTGTTATAATATGTATTTAAGTTGAAACAGTCGAATAGTATAAGTCTCATACTACTGTGATGGTGGCTTGCGTCCGTATACGTATCGAACCTTCATGTATGTATGGATCTTGGGATTCCTAATAGCTTTGCGAATACTCATCAGGAACAGCTGGTATTCGTCCTTGGGCCACTTAAGTACGTCGTTCCACATCATAGTAGTATATCCTGGGGACAATTGTTAGCTAGGCAGTAAGTGAAAAGCGAGAAGTCTTAACTTGCCTTCAATATCATTTTCTAAACAAGCGCGAACAAATCTTCCAACCTCGGCGAGCTTGGGATCCTTTGGCCAATCTCCGACGGGAATCTGGGTGCTTGTTAATAAATTATCGCTTTGAAACCAATGTCTTGCAGCAGTCACCTTGTAGTCAACAGTTGTGATGTCCTCAAAGCCAGCGTCATTGAACCCTTGAACCTGTTGGTCATAGACAAAGAAGGGATTTCCGAGGATCTTTCCTCCTTCTTCAAACAGCTTCTTATATATCTTGAGGTTTGGCTCTTTGTCGATGGTGCCATCATCGCAACGAAACTCGACATCAGCTTCAGCGGATTGAACCCAGCCTCCAGGGACACAGCAGCGGTAAGCCTCAGAAAACAGGGCAGACCAGTCTTTGATAGCACCGAAGATGTAACGGATATGAATGAAATCGAACTCATCATCTTCCCATGTCCAACTAAGGGCTGCGTCGTCTATTTCGAAGCGAACGTTTGGTGGAACCCATTCCGGTTGACATGGGGAGAGGTCGGTACCCACAATCTCGATATTCGGATGACGGTCAGCGAATTCACTAGATTGTTCAGTGAGAGGCTTCAGTCGGGACCAAGATTGCGCTTACATGGCCCAGATACCTGATACCGCTTGTTAATAGTGCATGATAAGAATAGGTTTGAGAGGGCTTACCAGTTCCAGTGCCTACGTCAAGCACTTTCTGTCAAAACACCAACCGGTTAGTAACGCAATCGCCATAACTCTCTTTGGTCAGAGGTACCAACTTTGATATCGCCTGTTTTTAAGGGAGGCAGAAACAGCTTATCATCGAGTAAGATTGTCAAATAGTGGTGACTATGAAAGATCAGACCTGGAACATAATTTCGGGTAATAAAAGCCATACGTCAAGTCCACGGACTCTAGCTGCTGATCGTCGTTGGGCAAAAAGTAGTTGGTCGTGAATTTATCGCTGTGATACGTGCGCCCTTGACTGCGACGATATTCGAGGATACTGGCCGAGACTGAAGCAGTCGAGCTTTCTCTAAAGGAGAATTTGGCATTTAGTCACTCTTGAATATTTTGATGGGATAACTCACGCGTCTGTACCAAGAGTGGAATCGGCATCGTCATCATTTTCGTTGTCCTACAAAACAGATAAATTCATGACTAAACCATGATGAGGTATTTTATCAACATACATGCTCATCATTCGCAGCGATGATATCTGTCTGTTGCGGCGGTGAGACTACGGTGGGCGATGATGGTGCTTCTGCCGGATTCGGTGACCCCGAGGTATGGTCTGCCATGGTTACCGCAATGATTTAATTTTGTGCCTTGGTTGATTATTTGACCCCCATTGAACTGGAGGTGGATGATGATGAGGGGCGATCTGAGATCAGCATGGGTCCGAAACACGTGATGTACAAGGGAGTGCGATGTGAGTTTACAGAATTGGTATCACTGTGGATGCTACTGTAATCTCGGCTACCGACCAAAGAATTATCTGTCATCTTCATCCTCGGCAATCCAATAAGCCTCCACCTCAGCAATACAAGTCCTGGCTCCAGGTGTAACAGCAATAGGAAACCCGCCGTAGTCCGGATCGTCATTAGGCATCATCATGAATTCGCCGTGCCTTGTCTCGTCTCCATTCAATATTCTCAAAGTTTGCAGGTTTCCATTCTCATCAACCTCCTTCTCCTCGCCCCAAAGGATCCCACCAAAGGTTGCATCCTCACGAGCTGCTTTGAATCGGGCGTGAAAGCCCCGGCCGACGAGCAGAAATTTGGAGTTGCCCAAGTGAATAATCATTCCAGCACCAGGGCCAGGCTTGCCAAAGACGAAGCAGCGCTCAACAATAACCTTGATGTCGCCGAATGTGCGTGTCCACTGTTCTGGCTTCTTGTCGCTTGGCTCTTCGTCAAAAAAGAATCCAAAGCGATCCTCGGGTGCAGCATCAAGGAGATATTGCTTGGTCTGATTGAGAAGCTTGAATTCACGGCCAATGATGTCAGAGCCCGTATCAATGCCAAACGGGCTAGCCCCAAGAGCACCGTAAGTCGCATAGGACAACCAGACGCGTCGCGCTCCATATTCGTCGCGTCTCTGTTCCGGGATAAAGAGGGTGTTTCCTTGTTCTGTATAATTCCGACAGACAGTTTCGTAGTCGTGAAAGTAAAGATCCGGTGCTAGAAGGTCCAGAGAGGGCGTATTGAATCGCCAAATATCCAAAACATGTGGGCAAGGACCTCCGGATGGGTAAATTCCGGGCTTGTCACCGCCACCAACCACAACTGGCGCGCCGCCACCAAAGTCCAGCTCTGACGGGCCTTCGATGTTGAGCCACGTGTTTGTGTACAGAGGGATGGGGTACTCAGCCTTTCCTGCTGCGGCAACTCGTCCCACGTAAGAAGAGATTAGATGCGCCATAAAGGCCTCATCAGCTGCTGTTCCAGGCCCAAACAGGGACTCCCAGGAATGAGAACCCGATGAAGGAACGCTTGAGATGCGTTTCTTGAATCTGGAGTGGGTATCGACGCGGCTCAGATATTGTAGGAGATCACTTGGTATGGGTTCAGCAAACGCTTTGTTGGCTCGGTGCGATCGATCCCGAGAATCGCCAAGGACTCCGGTCTCATTCTGAACTTGGACCATCAAGACAGTCTGGTGCTGGGAATCAACCTCTGCAAGATGTCGTAGAAGGGCAGCGAAAGCTCGGGAATCAGCCTCGCATGCGGCGTTGCATAGAGGAGTGATCATCTCGAGTGTCCTCTTGACGCCACCAGCTTCAAGCACTTGAACTCGGGGGAACCGTTTGGGGTCTCTCTTGACCCATCCCGGGGCATATGTTGAAAGTCCGTTCTTGTATGTCCCGAACCAGAGCAAAACGAGGTGCATATCATGCTCCCTGGCGCCTTTCAAGACTAGATCAAGCTCTCTAAAGTCAAAGTGGCCTTCTTTCGGCTCGATCATTTCCCAAGTTACAGAACCGAGCAATGTGTTGATATGATCGGACTTCATTCTCGGCCAAAGTTCACTCATAAACTTGGCGGAGCTGAGGGATGAGTTGTGAAGCTCGCCTGGAAGCATCAAAAAGGGCTTACCCTTGACCATGAGTCGGACGGAGCCTTTGTTGGACCGCTGAAGATGAGGGTAGGCATGCTGGGCTGGTGTTGATGGGATCTGTGTGGCAGTCATGATTATGGAACATAAAACGATAAAAAAACTCAATAGTTGATAAAGATGAAATTGATGATATTATCGAATCGTAGATGGTTCAAATACCTTGAGTATTTCCCAAACCGCATAAAATGGAGTGTAGGGTTGGTGGATCATGCGTTCCTGTGCGGAGCGCTCTCGCCATGCTTGCAGGGATCCTCGGACTTACTCCGCATTAACCCGGGAGAAATTGGCCCGAGTCTCGACCAATAGTTGCGGCTTTCTTGGGTTGGGTGCGGGGCACCGCCTCCCGAAGTAGGGGTAGCATCGACCGTATTCAGGTCACGTATCTACCCTCAACGGCGGAGTGTCGAGCACACCAATTCCCTGCCAACAGTCTAGATCATCGAGCTTCCGAAGTAATCGCTCGAGTTTAATTCTCGCATCTCCTATCTCCACTTCCCCCACGTCACTCCCCAACTGTTCGAGGTAGGCAGCTCCAATGTCCCGAATCTTGGGGACAAGGCTGCTGCCGTTTGCATCAAAGACAGCGCGGGGAAGATGGTACAGGATCTCCAACAGGTCATCTACAATCTTCTGATGGTCTTGTGCGCTATTGGCTGTGGGACCGAACTTCTGAAGAATATTGGAGCGGATGTTGAGACTCGTCACGAATAAATTGGCGATTTGGACGTCGTGCCCTTCCGTGACGTTAGCGGGACGAGACAGACCACCACGCCATCGCAATTCGGGCGGGAGATTATCCAAGACTTGTTGAATCTTTGCGAGATATCTCGTGATAGTAATCTGTGGTTCCGCACCCTCGGGACCTTGCTGCACCTCTTGCCAGATGAGGAACAAGTCGCTTAAAGAGTTCAGTCCTGGAACATAAGTGGTCTCATCTCCATGCCAAGGTGGCTCGTGACAGCTGCCTGGAGCTTTTGGCTCCATCTGATTATCTGAAAGAGGGAGTGGTCTTGGAAAGTTCTCGATGCGATCTTGACTGAGTAGGCTGATGGGTAGTCTTCCGAAAATATCCGCACTACTGTGATACGTGACTTGGTTAGCGCTGCCAGAGCCATGCACTCCCAGTGCCGATACATACCATGCACTAGCAAATAATAGCCATATGAGTCTTCTCAAGAGCTGCTGTTCAGCCTCATCGTGCTCGTGTATCCGATAATACGCCAGGTACCTGGCCCCTGCAGCGGCCTCGCTCAACGCGTGATAGGCGCGCATACTGCTCAACCCCGATTTTGTGGTGGCGCTCATGGCTGTTCCGACATTGTACAAGGCGATGCACCTGTCCATGCTAAAAGAGTCTCGGGTAAATTGACTCTTGAGCAGTCCGTGAGCATCGAGGAAGTCAACGCAATAATCTACAGTCACTGGCCCATAGTCACCCCGGGGTAGTGTCGCTTTGGTTGCTGCACATACGCTGATGACAAGCCCGCAGAACTCGGCGTCAACGTCAGCTACCCCTTGATGAAGGCGCTGGAGGAACCGACGACGGAGTAAGATCGGAGCTAGAGGGTGTATCACATCGAACCAGTCCCCCAGCAGACGCATAATGATCGGCTCCGGGGCAAACACGGAAAGCCACTTGCTACTGAGTCCGGAGCAATTGCATATCGAGGGATGGCTGATGTGGCTCAGAGCCTGAGGACTTTGAAGTGGTGTTGTTGATTGGCGTGTATCATTGCTTTCACCTGGTGAGATAGAAACGTTGTTTGGAGAGGGGATTCCTGGGGTCCCTGTAACCTGCCTATGTGATTTTTGTGCATGTCTATTCTGCGTCAGTATTCCAATACGATCAGCAATCAACATACAATTGACTGACTTATTTGGAGGTCCACGCTTCCTTCTTGGACGTTCATGAGTACAGTTCACATTTAGAAACTCGCAGCCTTGGCATCGCTGATGGCTGGCATCATACGTGCACTACCGACATCGTTAGTGTATAGACAATGAGGGGTAGACAGTGGCATCATGGACGCCAGGAGGATGCCAACCCGGATCTTTCTGGCTCTGCAGACATCACAAGCTGCTTGGTTTCGAGGCCGCTGCCCTGAACTGGCTAACAATGCACTTGCGGAGACAGCCGCAGGGGTGCCCTCGACTGTGTCAGTCATTGAATCCAAGGCTTGACTGCGGTGTAAAATTTGAGGATCTCTGTGCGTAAAATCGACTGGCAAAAAGAGAGAGATAATTAGTCCGAGGAGAATATTCGGATCACCTCCTCTCTTTTAGACTCGTCTGTATGGACCAGTTCGCCGAAATCTCGGATATACTAGAGTGGCCTTGCTTGAACAGGAATGGTTCGACTCTAGGTATTCGTCAAGATCAGACCTTCTTGCCCAATCAAAGACCCCCATGCTATGGACCACCTACAGTGGCTTAACCTGTTGTGATTTAGTCTCCAACACAAACTTCTCAACCTTGTCTTCCCCATGGGGAGAACAGGAAAAGCGTGGCAAACCCGTACCATCCAAAGGCCATGATGCATTGCTGTGACTTGCTGTCACGAGACTCATGGTTTGATTCTTGACTAGTATGTGGCTGTCGAGTGTAGACACTCATGCCAGGCACTTCCTTGTCCTGGATATATAACCCGTCGGGGAAGCAGCCAAGATCATCCCTTGATCAACAGGTGCTTCAACTCCAAGTCCCTTGACCAATTGGCAAATCCACCAACATTCTTGCTCATCATGACCTCAAAAGAAACCGATATCGATGTTTCAGAGGAGACACAAGCTCCTCAGGGCTCAGCCTTGCCGTTCTGGAAACAGACTGAGCTGAGGAAGCTGTACCTTATGATGGTCTTTCTCTTCATGGGCTCGACTACCCTCGGCTATGACTCCAGCTTACTGAATGGTCTTCAGACAATGGGATCGTGGCAGACTTGTAAGTCCTTTATTTGAACCTTGGCACTACTCTCAGCTAACACCATGGGATAGTCTTTGATCACCCAGAAGGAAGTCGGCTAGGCATCTTTGGCGCCATGCCCGGTTTCGGAGGTCTCTTTGTCCTCCTCTTCGCTCCCTATGTCGCCGACGGACTGGGTCGAAAAAAAGGCACGGCTATTGGTTGTGTCATCGTTATTGTTGGCGCCCTTATGCAATGTTTCCCTCAAAAGGGCCACGGACCACGACGCGATGCGCTATATCTCGTCGGCCGATTCATCATGGGCTGTGGCTCCAACATTTCCAACGCTACTTGCCCCCTCCTCATCACTGAAATCGCCCACCCCCGACATCGAGGCAAGATCACGACAGTTTATAACACGCTTTGGTATCTCGGGAGTATTATCGCGGCCTGGGTATGCTTTGGAACTCTGAGAAACCAGACTGGAAACATCCAATGGGTTCTTCCCACTGGACTACAGTGCCTCATGCCTGGTATCCAGCTTTTGGCAATTTTCATTGTGCCCGAGAGCCCCCGATGGTTGATCAGTAAAGGTCGCGAGGAGGAAGCTCGCAAGATTCTTGTCAAGTACCACGGCAACGGCAACGATAACGATGAATTTGTCCGATGGGAATATACCGAGATCGTCAACACTATCAGACTCGAACGTGAATCATCAGACAACGGGTGGGCGGAGCTTTGGCGCACACCGGGCAACCGCAAGCGATGCGGGCTGATTATTGCTACTGCCATCTTCTCTCAGTGCAGTGGTAACGGTCTTGTCTCATACTATGTAAGTGGAATCCAAGATACAACGCCACCGAGGGTGTAAGCTCACTTTTACCATAGCTTGCCGCCATTCTGAGAACTATTGGTATTACGGAGTAAGTGGAGTCATATGCAGAATTGCTAATTAAAGATACTAACACATTCCAGTGCTGTAACTCAAGCATACATCAACGGTGGCCTCACAATCTGGTGCTGGCTTGTCTCTCTCTTCGCCGCCTTCTTTGTCGATCGTGTGGGACGGAGAGTTCTCTTTCTTTTCGCTGGCGTCGGCATGCTCATTTCCTTCACCATCTGGACTGCATGCAGCGCCGTCTACGCAAAGACTGAATCGTCTGCTGCTGGTATTGCCGTCGTCGCCATGATCTTCCTCTTCTATGGCGTGGCTGGTGCTGCATGGCCTGGATTGACGGTTTCTTATACTGTTGAGATCCTGCCATATAATATCAGGGCCAAGGGACTTACCCTCTGCTTCTGCTTTACAGCTCTCTCAGGGGTTTTCAACCAGTGGGTAAATCCTCTTGGCTTGCAGCAGCTTGCATGGAAGTTTTATTTCGTTTATATTGTCATGTAAGTCACTAATCACCTGCCTCAATGCATGAACTGGACTAACATAGTCTTACAGCCTGGTCATCGAGTGTCTCGTGATCTACTTCTTCTTCGTGGAGACAAAGGGTCCTACTCTGGAGGAGATTGCAGTTCTGTTCGATGGCCAGAACTCTGCTGCTGGCATTGCCAAGAGCCAAGCGCAGATGAAGAGTGCAGTTACAGAAGTCGAACACGCTTAGATCTTTCGGTTGGCCCAACCGGTATTCATGAGTGGTAGATATTGGTTCATGTAAACAGACGCAGATAGTCTCTATTGACGGTACCGGTAGTATGAAGCTTTGGTCCAACCTCCTCTCCCTAGACCATGGCTTATGAGATAGCAATACGGACCGATATAGATCCCTTCTTTGTCTGTACTACAATCAAATCATGATCATATGTGATATCATCAATTGTTGTCTCATATAGACGCGCTCTGGGTATAACCCGAAAAGTAAGCAAAGCAGCCATGATGTAGACCTCGCAATAAGCGAGGCTTGAAGAGAAGTTAGCACAAATCCTGGAGATTGATAGACGGTAACTTACTTTTCCCCAATGCATGCACGACTGCCCTTCCCAAAGGCAATCAATAGCTTCTGTAGTTTGAAGTTGGGCTTCCCCCCCTCTAGCCATCTCTCCGGTATGAACTCGTCTGGACTGGGAAAGATCTCCTTATCCCAGTGATTGATCATTGAAGTCATACCGATTGGAGTGCCTCTTGGAATCACCCACTCGACGTTGCCATCCTTACTTTTGTAGACCAAGTCTTCATCGCGGGCGATTCTGGCTGAGCGGTGAGATACCCCAGGCATTACACGAAGAGCTTCATGGATGACGGCCCAGAGATAAGGACGTTGCTCGAGCTCGGTCCATTTGAGGGTTTGGGGATCGATCCCTTCGAGATCAGCCATCAACCGTCTATATGTCAGTGGCTGAGCGAGAAGGTAGTACGTGATAACCGTCAGGATGGCCTGTTGAGACCTGTGAGTACCAACGTGGTATCTAAAAAAAGATTAATTACTTACCGCAGTAGTTTCCGTCCCGGCTAGAAGGAAATTGAACCCCTCTCCCGATAGCCGATACATGGACTTCTCTGACTCTGGTAGTGATTTGGACTCCATCACATCGGCGAAAACTCTTCCACCCTCAGGGTTCTTTAAAGCAGCCGCGATGTATCCAGGAATGACAACATTCATCTGTCTCATGACTGCTTTGATGTCTTCACCTAAGTAGTCAGACAGGAACGGAAGAAGCTGAGCCATCTTCCTTGCAAAGACATTATGTCTCATCATGTAGGCACTCTGGAAGAAAGACTTGACCCAAGTAGCCAGATTAGGCTCCCAGCCATCTTGCGCAATAAAGCCCATAGATTCACCAAAAGCGTACTGAGACATAATGTCTGCCGTGAAGCAGTTAAAGGCTTCCTTCACGTCAAAGGGCTCCCCACCAGCGTATCGAAGCATCTTGTCGACAGTCATCTGTGCAAACTCCTTGACTTCGCCCTCGAGCTTGAGCATCTGCTGGCGAGAGAAATACTTTGACAAGGCCCCTTTCCGCATACGGTGAACTTCGTGATTTACTGTTGAGAAACCAGTCACAGACACGGGACCGGCACCCCCCGTGTTTAGCTGGTGCTGCCATTTGTCGCGGATTCGGCCTGGACCAGCATAGATTTCATCTGTGAAGTACGGATCCGAGCAATGAAGTTCATCCGGGTTGATTCGCACAATTGGACCTGAATCACGTCAAAAGATATTTTCCAGGGGATAGAACTGTTAAGCTTACCATAGCGCTCGTGCATGTGACGGATTTCATGTCCATAACGCCCTACCCGCCACCAATCATGATACGCCTCATACAAATAGCTTGCTGCAGCAATCCTAGGACCAGGAAAGCGGTGCAAGGGATGAAACGGCGAGATATTGTAAACCGCCAGGACCATACGATATGCAAGCCAAGAAACGATCACATATGTGATGGTCTGGAGAAAAGCAGCGGCCGTAATATTGGTTGGTGGCAATACTGACTTTTGATCCATGGTGGCAAGAATTTGCAAGATGAAAGTGACAGTAACCAGGAAATCTTTTAACCAGAGGAGTTTATATCACCTACAGATTAGATATGTGGCTCAAGGGGACCCATTTTATGCTTGGAAATGGGGTAGCGTTGCATCCAAAGATCTATCATCGGCTGTATCTATACTGTTTGCGTTAAGTAGTCCGAAGCCCCCCTGTAAACTTGTGGAGTAATGAATCCTTTAGATCTTGAAACTTGAAGAGTTTTCACTATATTTTAGACTCAAGAAGAAAATATAATAATACTCAAAGTAACTTTTTTTATAAGACTAAGCTGATAAAGAAAGAAATCTATAGATAGGGACTTAAACCTAATCTGCATACTGGTTGAAGCAAAGATGGAGAACAAAAAGTTGAGAACAAAAGAATGAGAAAAGAGATAATTGTTTCTTGCCAGCTCACCATCAAGACCAATAAAACGGATGCTATTGGCGTATGCTCTCAACGAGTAGTAGAATTGGGAGTGTGCAGCTGAATAGGGGTTTGTCTGCCCAAAGCAGCTGTTCCGTACTATTGACCGTATATGGGTTGGCTGTCGAGGCTATCCCAATTAAATGCTTTAGCTCAAGGTTGCTTGACCGAAACAGCAAACTGAGCCTTTGCGGAAGTTCCAGTAAACGAATTGATTCCACTACAGTTTATTGTAGACTCTTCGTTCTGGATGGCGGCGCAGTTAGTTAGACGCTTGAGCGCAGAAAAAGACGCACTGGTTGAAACTGTTTGCTTGAACCACTCCTATCGATGTACCGCTATAGACACTGAAGTCGCAGGAGAGATAATAGGTGGAACCAATGTCGGACTATGGATTAGGGTTGCTGCGGCACTCACTCAATGCGGCAGCCGTGGTCGTAGTCGTTATGAGATCTGTAGTGGTACTTGCGGTAGTAGTATCTGCAGTAGTCGTGTCTGTGGTAGTCGTTGTGATCTCTGTTGAAAACTCGGAAATTGTGGTCGATTGGCCTGAAGTTGTCTCTTCAGCGCTTGAGAACGTACTTGAACTAGCTGGCCCTGACAAGGTCTCCGAGGTTGAATCAGCTGAAGTTACAGTGGTTGGAGCGGTTGACCCCTCTGACTGCTTACGAACAAGCTTGGAGTCTCCAGCTCAGTAGACGATGGTGCCTCAGTACGAGAGTCGCTGGATAAAATAGATGATTGGACGATGATCGTTGAATTAACAAACTCAGGAGAGATGACAGTAGATGTCTCAAATTCGGTTGTCGGGGACGAGGTCAAAGCAGATGTATCAATAGCTTGGGAAGAAACGGTGGTTTAGGCCTCAGAACTGAAGGTTGAAACAGATGAGATGATCGATTGAGAAGAAGGCGCGGAAAATACTGCAGTACCAGACGCCAAAGTAGATGCATCAACAATTGGGGATGAAGCGGTGAATGACGGAGAGCCAAGTGTTTGCGAGGAGGCTATGTCAGATTTATAATCAATCAAGCAGTGATAGGAGCTTCAGAACCAGAGGTTTCAAGAATAGTAATGCTTGGTTCATCAGAGGTAAGAGAATTGAACTCTGTAGGTACGGCTGTGTCTGCTATTGTAGACTCTCCGCAACTGAAAATTCCAGAACTGGTACTTTCAGCAGTGCTTGCCTTAGTGGAGCTCGCCAAAGCAGAAGTCGAAGTCCCGAAACCCACAAGCCGACCATTTTGGCATTGTGTGACTGCATCCAAATTAGCAACTGAGAGTTTAAAAGCGTGGATAGTCTTACTGTCATAGACACCCAGAGTCACTAGGATACATTCAGGAGGACTAGCATTAAAAGTGACGTACAATTGACCACTAGAGCCCTGATTGAAGCCTGCCTCGCCATTTGGTAGGCCCGAATTCCTGAAAATGACATTTCGACCCGAAGTTCCAAAGGTATTCGTAATGGCGCCCTGTATAAAAAAGCCCTCATCTTGGACATTCAGTGCTTTGTAATCCTCACCAGCGTAAAACGTTGGTAAACCGCCAACACAGAGCTGGCTTTTAGCCAGATTGAAAGTTAAGGCAAAGGTACAAACATCCGGATTGTCAGCAACAACAAAGCCTTCGGCTTCCCGTTTCTTAACATCCCGTTTCTGATTACCAGATGCCTGGATGAGGAAGATGACAGATCGTCCTGGTGATTCGACAATACCGGTCGAGGTAGTCAAGACCGAGGAGGTTATGTCTATTGCAGACGCTGAAGATGTATCGAACGGTTCAGTTATTGAAGTAGTGGATAGTGTTCCAGAGTCAGTTTGTGCTTCGATCGGTGCAACATCGAAACTCGACAAGTCGGACGTTGTGCCTGGTTTGGAAGCGATTATGGTCTGATTGCCTGTGACTGACACACTATCAATACTCATCCGCCGCAATAAAGCAAAAGAAAGACTTCGTACTGAAGGCCGTTTCTGTTGAACTGTTTCCGAAGATTGTCAGGTGTTTTGACGGTGACACACAATGGGCGCAACAGAAGTCGGAGCAAGATAGGTTGACAGGTATGTAATACACCATGTATCCATCTCCACCGAAGGATAATCGGCAGCTGAGGCTATGCCTGCTGACCCTAAAAGAGTGGTTGCAAAGATATAGCTCTTTATGGTTTTTGTAATAAATGGAAAAACATCGCAATATGCAACATATGCTATTTTCACAATAGGAGATTGCCAAGCTTTTAAGGTTAAAGTTGCTGAAGAATATTTCATCCCATGAATTTGATGTTGGTAATCAGTTTGAAACATAGCACTAAAAGGGTTTAGCATTTGTCTTATGTGGCCCATTGCTAGGGAACGTTGCTTTAGTGGAGAGTTAGTGCCTCATAGTATGAGAATTCAAAATTGGCCATTTTAGACGCGTAGACTGTGATGATTATTTTAGTGGAGGTTAAGTGTCTTACAGCTTGACACATTCGTCATTAACCATTCCAAACGTGTGAATTAACGTTATCTTGTTTCCCTTACTAGTCTAGACCCACGTTCATGCCATAGGACATTTCTCCTTTTTTTTAAAAAAAAAAAAAGACATTAAAGAGTTTTGGATAATGACCTATAGCCGAAGTTTTATTTTCAGGAGCCGGGATTTAGTTTTGTATAAATTCCACTCTTTACAGCCTGTATTAGAATATGCCTAAAATTCTTTACCCGGAGAGCGGCCCGACCAAGCCTCTTCATGCGGGGATTTGCAATTGCTACGCTACTGCTCTACAGAAGGATTGACTAATTGCCGAGGATGAGTCGAGACCTTGCTATGAAATGTTTGACTTGGTATGCAATGCGGCATAACCCCTTAGCAGCCTCTGAGCCCATAAGTCGTCACATCGCTCCCAGACCTCAATGCCTTCTGGAATTACCAAGGCTCCCGAATTGGCGAAAATGTCCTCATCTGACATTGTGTTCCCTTTGCATGAGTTTGACGACTCACCTATCAATCGGTACATGCAACACTGGACCCTGCGATTCGATGCAGTTCTTGACACGCGGAAATTGTGCGCATCTCTTACGCATCTGCTCAGCCTTGGCGATTGGAGGAAATTAGGCGGCCGCTTGCAGTTCAACGATGCCGACAAACTTGAGGTCCACGCACCTAGATCATACAGTCACGAGCGACCTGCATTTCAATTCTCAGAGGAGACCTTTTCAATGAAAGCTGCTGAACACGCTGTTGCGAAGAACCTCCCAAGGGCAAAAGGCAAGCCCGAGCTGTTTCCTGGAATCACTTCGCAGTTCAACTCGTTGACTCTTGGCCCTGAATGGGCGCTCGACTTTTCTGAACACGTTCGCCGTCAAGAGCCTATCATTGGCATTCACATAGCTCTCTTCAATGATGCGACATTGATCAGCATCCGCTGGGTTCACGTGGTATGTGACTTCATGGGTATAAAAGCTCTGGTCCTGGCATGGTCGATGGATCTTGACGGACGCTACGACGATATCCCGCCTTTTATGGGTGCATACGAAGACCCTCTGAAACCCGTTGGATCAGTGCCACTCAGGGAACCTTACGCTCTAGCGGATATGCAGTTAAGCCCTCAAGCGTTCAAAAAGACGTACGAAACATACCTGGAGCACGTCGCGAGATACCCAATATCGGTGCGACGCATGCTCGTGCTACCAGACTCTGCCCTGCAGAGGATCAAGATGGACTTTATCGGTGGCCACGGTTCGGATCAACTTAAAGTCGTTCCAAAGGGAGCACTATTCAACGGAAAATTTGTGAGCGACGCCGATATCCTGGCTGCATGGGCGGCGCGGCTTTGCTGCGGTATACTTCCTGCGGCGGATCGTCCTGTTCATGTCATGGGCATGTACGAGGCGAGACACTGTTTACCACGAACGTTCCCTCAACGCAAGGACAAACCTGACTCGAGTCCTGTTTTCATCGCCAATGCAACTTTTTCGACCTCGACAAACACCACGCTTCAAGCGCTTCGGTACCAGCCATTAGCAAAAACCGCCCTCCTAGTGAGAGAATCAGTGGCGACGCTGACCAAGGCCCCCCAGGTGCACGCTCAACTGCATCTCCTGCGGGAGTCTTACGCAAAGGACAAGGAAAACCCGCCCGTCTTTGCTGCTCAAGACGCATTCATCTTAGTCGTGTCCAATTTCAGTAAAATGGGGTTCTTCGACTCGATCGACTTTTCCCCCGCTGTCATTACTGCCGTCGCAGCCGGCCATGGCAAGTCTCCGGGAAAGCTCGCATGGCACCAGTGGACTTCGTTGGAGCATAATACGCATATTCGCAACATGTTCCAAGTGGGTGGCAGAGATGGCCAGGGCAATACGTGGATGATGGCAATCTTGCCACCCGAGACGTGGGCCGTGGTGGAGGAGCATTTAGCCGGCCTCTTGGATGGTAGGCCCAAGGCGCCAAGCAAGCTGTAGGATCTGGCTTATGTGAGGCACAGTCCTGCGGCTCTTGGGTTACAGGCCAATAGAGCGTAGGCTGCATGTCCAAGACCCATCTACGCCACTTAGTACGGAGCAGCTGATGTAACCCCATAATCCTTCGGAATTGATAGTTCGTTCTGAGTTGCTATTGGCAGGTTAAATGCTATGCTGTTGCTGCCCATCGGAGCCGAGCAATCATCTCGCAGCCCTGAATCGTACTACAGTGGATGCTCATGTTTCCATGATTTTACGCCTGGCCGTAAGGAGCCGTTGATTCCGATTTTACCTAGATCGGCATATTAGACAGCCATTATCTACCCGCGACGCAACCAGATCTTGGTGATGATCTCATATGAGATGAACTTCGGATCTCGATGGTTCACTGCCGCCTAATTTAGCCTATTATCGTGTTGAGATGGGCGAAGCAGCGATAGATAGCTCTGGTTCACGAGACAGAAGATGCTTTGTTTCGGCAGCGACGGGATGAGCCTGAATCCTTCGAAGAGAGGGGACACGCTGGCTTGGCAAGTATATACGCGACTACTTGAGAAGACTTGTAGCTTTAGTTTAAGAGAACAGAAGCGACGATTGATGAAGACTATCTTTATACTTCTTCGGATATCACCAATCTAGAGCCATCCAATTATTACCGCGCCAGCGTCATGTCTCGTATTATGAACCCTCCAGCCCCAATCGCCATCATCGGCGTCGGTTGTAGGCTCCCAGGTGGAGCCAATAACTTAGACAAGCTATGGAAACTGCTTTCGGAAAGTCGTGATGGGCAGACAGAGATTCCCAGCGACCGCTGGAACGCAGACTCGTGGTTCGATGCCTATCCAGATGCGAAGCAATCCATGGTGACCAAGCACGGATATTTCCTCCAGGACGACATCTCTCAGTTTGACGCCAAATTCTTTGGTATCTCCAGTGCAGAAGCCCACTCGATGGACCCACAACAGCGCCTCTTTCTCATGACGACGTATGAGGCTCTCGAAGACGCTGGTATTCCCGTTGAAACACTGCGCGGCTCCAACACTGGGGTTTATGCTAGCATCTTTGAGAGGAGCTACGATCGAATGGGGCACAAAGACCTGTCCACGATTGGCAGGACGCACCTGAACGGAACTGGCGAGTCTAGTAAGTTGTTGTGTTGATTAGATCATACCCGTACATGCGACTAACACCAACCAGTCCTATCAAACCGGATATCATACTGTTTCGACCTGCGCGGTCCCTGCATGACCATCGACACTGGCTGCGTATGGAATTCTGGAACCGACATGCCAAACGAGTGATTTACTGACATTGCGTAGTCTGGAAGTCTTGTAGGCCTTCACCAAGCATGCCACAGCCTTCGGTTGGGCGAGTCGAATCTCGCCTTAGTGGGTGGCTCGCAGCTTGTTATTCAGCCAGACATTCTAAGCATAAGTGAGTTTCCTCTTCCGTCTGCATTGCCGGTGGCGCGCAAGCAATACGAATTCAGTGCTGATGTTCCTGTAGTGAGCGGTATGGGAATGCTCAATCCAGATGGAAAGTCGTATACCTTTGACTCTAGGGGCGTTGGATATGGACGCGGCGAAGGCGTTGCCACAGTAGTTCTCAAGCGTTTGGACCTTGCAATTAAAGACGGGTATGTGGTGGGTCCTCTGCGGTCGCTTGACGTGCTGACCAAGATAACAGTGACCGAATACACGCCATCATTGCTAATTCGGGCATGAATCAAGACGGCAAAACACCTGGCCTGAATACCCCCAGCAGCGAGGCACAGGCAGCGTTGTCTCTCCGTGTGTACCAAGAGGCCGGGCTGAATCCTGCTGATACGTCTTTCGTCGAAGCTCACGGCACTGTAAGTCTCCTGTCACGCTAAACGGGAAATCAGGCTAAGAACGCGTAGGGAACCCAAGCAGGTGACCGGGAGGAGATAGCGTCAATATCTAAGGTCTTTTGTGAAAAGTCTGGTAGGACAGACGATCTTTACGTCGGCTCAGTGAAGACGAACATCGGCCACCTTGAGGCAACCTCCGGTATCGCCGGCTTGTTGAAGTCCGTACTCGTGCTGAAGCATAACCAGATTCCAGCCAACCTCAATTTCATCAAGCCCAAGCCATCTCTGAAGCTTTATGAGAAGAGAATAAAGGTACAGATCCCTAAGTTTTCAAGCCAAAGGGAGACTACTCTAACATGTTTGCAGATCCCAACTGAAGTTACAGAGCTACCAAGACCACAGCACAATGGCCCTGCTAGAGTATCAGTCAACTCATTTGGGTACGGAGGAACTAACTGCCACGTTATCCTTGAGGCTCCAGGCGCATACCACAAGCTTAATGGCGCCCAGACTAATGGGTCATCTACTCATCATAATAGCCCCGAGTTATTCAACGGAGTTACGAAGGCATCCTTTACCTCTGAATCAGCTCTGAATGGATCTTCAATCCCTGGCGATGTCACTGACTCTACTCCCAAGTTGTTTGTTCTGAGTG